AACGGTCATGCAACGTTGTAAGATTGTTGCGAGACGTTGCATCTCTGTTGCAGCAACGAGGGTTTAAGTTTGGTTTAGCTTTAACCAGTTCTCGCAACGTTTTAGGCGTTGATTCCTTACACTTGCCAACGCCTAGTGTTGCAGCAACGCCTCGAAACGTGGCGCAACGTTGCCGCAATGAGGAGCTAAAATTGCGATATGATGGTCCATCATACGCCTCTCGGACATTTACGTGCTGAAGATCCACTGCATGTTTTCGGGGCATTTCTAGATTGGATTAGTCTGGGTCTAGACCAAAGCGTACTTACACAATCTTTTGTTAACGAATTAGAGTTAAGCGGAAATCGGCAATAAACCACCGGACAGGTCAATTAACTAATCTCAATGATTTACTCCACTCTTGACGACGATTTCTAGCTAGGTACAAGTTGCTCACAAATGGTGAGTTTTGCATCTAATTTAACCCTGGTTAGTACGTGGTTAAATAACTTACATCGCTTTTCGGTAGTGCGGGATGCGACCACTTATATGACGAACCTGGTGTGGGAAGGTTCTCTGGCTACTTACCGCAGTTACAATCTTGGTTAAGGGTTTCCTAATCAGCTTCGTCTGGTAGAAGGGCATGTAAACAAAGCCCATGCAACCAGGTCTGGTCATGGTTCTAATTTCTCCCTGTGCCTATCCAGACGTGCGTAGTGCTACTTTGAAATCGTCTGAAGTGATTGGCGCAGGTGCACCGGCCTTGGAACCACCCGGTAGATAGTACTCGAGATCGATGTAGTACTCTCCGTGCGGGGACTGGGCAGCGAAGGGGGTCTCGTCCACCTGGGTGGCCTGCCCCTGGACGTTCTTGAAATAGCCGGTCCCTCCGAGGATAGCGTATGCAGGCACGTTGCCGTCGCTGTAAACAACTGCAGAGGGGGACGGATGAAACGGGCGCGACTGAGCAAAGTGTCTAAGCGGGAGAAGGGGAGCTGTCAACTCGCCTGAACATCATGGTTGAGTTTCACAAGCGAAAAAGGGGACACCATCGCATACCGCTTTCGAAAAACGTAAGGATTGCACTACATTTACCAGATGCACTGGGATGCTTGCGAGTAACCAACCAGTGTCGAGAACACGAAGGATCGAACAAGAATTGCCACCAGAGTGAAAGGTGCATGCGGTGATGGCCGAGACACGAGTTTAAAACCTGAGGTTCTTGATTTCACATCCGATGAATCAAAGTTCGCGTCTCCTGGCATACGCTAGCGGTTTATTGAACGGCCACTTTGTGGAGAGAAAGCCTATCACCTTTGAATAGGCGCACCTAAATCGGATATTAATCAGACAGCTGAAAGTTTGACTTTCTAGGGACGCGATCGAACTGAGTAGGCTTGAACCCGTCTTCGACAGTTCTGACCTGGTATGAACGCGCTGGACCAATCAGTAAACAGGTCTGGCTTGTGGTGGGAAAATGGCTTGTGGTGGGTTTTCTTCTGTGTTCGTACTTAATGAGTGGGTAAACTGGAGCAAAGCTTTCAAGAAAGTATACTTGAAGAGGGCAACAGATTTCAAGGAACACTCGTGCGAGACTCGTGCATCTGAAGAGGAATTTCATCCGACGGACCAGATCCCATCTCCAGATTGCCCCGAGCGACCAGTTTGGCTCTATGGGCACTTTTCGGGTCGCCGAGGGGCGACCTCCCGACGCCCTCTTTAAGCACTCCGAAGAAAGCTAGTCAAGTGACGGCCTTCCAGAGGGCTCACTGGCGAGGAAGATGCTGCTCCCGGCGTACTTCCCCGACTGAAATTGCAGCGACGTTTGGCACTGGAACACCGTGGCAGGGTCGCCCGCGCTCGGTTCCTGGATCACCGTGCAAACCCCGGTGGACAGCCCGATGCGCTCGCGCTTCCCCGGGCCCGGATCGGGGAAAACGTCCTCCAGAGTGCAGAGCTCGTTGGAATAGGCAAGATAGTCGCCGAGTTTAGTCGCGTCGTTGGTCGGGTCGAGGTGCGCCGGGTAGGCGCTGTGCCGGGGGCCGGGCGTCGGTACATACTCCCCGACCACGCTGCAAAAAAAATCCGCAACAAAGATACCATTATGCCAAGATAATAAGAAGATAAGTTTGGTGTTTCAGTGGGTAATCCCAACCCAAAAAGATACCTGCTCCGCGCCCATACCCACCCGAATTACCACCAACGTAACCCTACCCCGTCCCAGTGCGATTACCTTATCATTGATTATCTCGCTTTAAGTACTACTATTATCTTTCTTGAGTTCAATGCTGCAAATGCCCGGAAAAGATGTCTCACTTCGTCCGCAGTTACGAAGGTGGGCCGTTTAAAAGTTTAACAGCATCGACTGCAGATTGCTTCGCAGTTGTCCAGCTCCCGTCCTTGTTCCGAGACATCCGCGAGCGCGCATTGCGAAGTTGTTGTGAGTTTGTGAAACAAGGAAACGGGTTGATCCCTCCGGCGTCCATGAATGAAGCCTGAGCAATTTTTCCAGCCGATACGGTGACGGGCCGCCGCATCTTTGTGGTAACAGGGATCAGTCTGGTCGCCTCCAACAATCAAGAGTGATTTTAAAAGAGTAATTGCCGATGCGCGCGCAACCAAACATAACGGGCGCAGCTTTTTAATAACAGGAAACAGTGTGATCGCCTCCGACAATTAATACTGACTTGAAAAAGTAACAGCTGATTCGAAATCGATCTTAACGGGCTCAGCCGCGGATCTAAAAGCGACACGTGACGCTGTCAGATCACGGAGTGTGCTCGTCGGGAGAAAGTATCAATAACAAAGCATGGTTAGGCTTCCGACGGTTATACCCCCCTCTACCGGATGTTGACCAGAAGCTGGTTACCATCTGTTGAATACGCCTTGACCAGGTTGGGTTATGAGCGAATCCTTTCCTGTGGCTTACCGCAGCTTTTGTGCAACAGGGACGACGGCCGTTGAAGTCTTTTGAGGGCCACCAGAGTCAGTGCCGTCCGAACTGAATGTCACAAGGAAGAACTAGCGTTTAGCTAAACCTGGTTAGGCTTCGGTGTATCTGCCATTTACCAGACGAGGATCATTGGTTGAGAGCTGTTAGATGCCCCGTAACCAGCTTTGATTAGCAGCAGAACCGTCCTCTAATAACAGATTCCTCCTCGCTCTCTACACTTCAGAAACTGCGAAGGCAGATCGATAGACAGACCGTGACGTTCAAAGCCCATGACCAAAGTTGGTGCCATTCTGACTGCACACTGCCATCACAAGGAAAAAGCACCCGGAAAAGTAAACACTTGTTAGTCTTACATCATTCTCATCAAAGCCCGGTGCACTCTTCTCAGGTTGGGCAACACAAGGGATTGATGAGGGCACATTGGCTGCAAGGTTAATCAAACTATCCGTATGTGGACGTGGCTCCGAATGTCCGCAGCGAAACAGTTCTTTCTGGTACAGACACGAGAAGAGGACGTCTGATCCTTCTGTCGTCGCCCCGGTTCCGTTACGGCGCCTCTTTCTAGGTCAGCCGAATTAACATCATCAAATGGTATCTTACTTCCCTGCGCCTGCCAGTGTGTCTCTTCCCGTCAACAACCCACTCGCTGGGTTAGGTGTTCGACTATACATGCCCAATTTCTGGATTCAATAATGAGAACAAGGCTGTTCTTCGCGTCATGCAACAAAGCTTCAGATAGCAAGTCTGAAACTCCCCATCTCAAGAGACAGCCTCGTGAAAGGGGATGCGCAAGAAAGGTGTGGGTAGAGCACTTTTCAAATGTCTTGCGCGCGTAACTGCAGACAAACGTTTACCTGTACTTGTAGACTTTGCCGTTTGTGTCGAGCCCCCACACGAGGGGGTAGCCTGCGCTGATGGACTTGAGGGATCCCTCTGCCTTGACCCACGCGCCCTCGTGTCTCGTGCTGTTCACCCAACGGTACACCGTGCCATTGCTGTCGACTGCCCACACGCCGCTGATGCCGGTGGACACCTGCTTGGAACAACCGTCCTCTTCGTTCGCGCTTTTTACTTTTTGAAGCTTCGAGTTGTTCTTCTTTTATTGTACTTTGCCGCCTCGGGATCGTGCCCCTTCTCCCATCGTGAAACCAGGAGTTCCCTTCGATTAAATATGTGGCAGATTCAATGTTTCGTTTCTCACCTCGTCCATCCTTGAATATACTAAGAGTCTGTATCATAACCTTTCTCTTCGTCTGTCCCTTCTCGCCCTTTGTCGATTCCCTCACTTCCGCTTCGATTCACCTACATACTTCATGTCGTACTACATTCTCAGGAGAGGGCATTCTGTCAAACCGAGTGACACGTCGTATGCCACTTCACAAGTTTCACCATGTCTCATCAAATTCCATCGAGATCAGCAGAATTTGAGAAGGTCAGCACTCAAAGTACATGCACCGGCCCCTCGAAAGGCACTTGAAAGCTAAGTCGTCCTTTCAAGCCCATACACTCACAAAGAAAAGCCATCGTTATTGGACCTGAATAGGTCCCGACCAGATCCTCTTCTGCCAGACAACGATGGTTGAGAGCTCGTTGAAAAACCTCTTAACCAGACCTACTAGCACCGAAACCTTCCTGTGACATCGTTTCAGGCGACCTATGTTGTTTCAAGCTTGACCCGAGGGCTGAACCGGGCATGCAAACCTGCTTGAGAGTGTCCCGGTTGTCTGGCCCCAGGACATAGACCCAGCCCCCGTTAATGCGGCGGTGCGCCCTTTTCAACTCCCCGACCTGAATCCCCCACAGGTCCCCGTAATCGCTCGTGTCGATTGAATCAAGCTTGCCGTCCAACTGGATCCACTTCTCTGAATCATGCACACGCGCACAGGAGGGTTTCGCTTTAACGTGGACCTGGTTGATGCTTCTGTGACCAGCAAGTAAGAGATCAGGCTGGACGAAGAGCATCTAAAACAGTCTCTAATTACGCTCCGCTGATTTTTGGTTGGAAACTGAAGACAGAGCGAAAGAGGAGGGATTTCGAGATCAATCGGCGAGGAGGGTGGCACTCTGTCACAATGGAAAGGGGGACGGGAATCTGCTGGTGACTGTGGTCTTTGAAGGGCTTTGGTCTCAGTTGGCATTAACGCTAAAAACCATTTCTGAATGAGGGCAAGGAGAATGAGCTGCTACAACGGGGCGGAAAAGAGTCGCAAAAGAGTGGGTCCGTTCTGGCCCAGAGGTGGGTTGCTACAGGATACCATCGAAGAAGCCGCGCAGATCGAAGAAAACGACTGTTACATGAACCTTCTTAGGCCTTAGGTTAGATGCCCTTCTACCCGACAAAAGCTGGTTCGAGACCTTTAAACCAGACCTGGTTAGGAACGAAAGCAGCTTCCTGTGTGGGTGTGTATGCCCATTTCGCATGTCGAGATAGTAACTTACCATCGCCTTGGTATTTGAAAATGTTGCGCTGGGTATCCAAAATGTAAACGTCTTGCCCGGACGCCACCTGGGTAACAGCTACGCCAGTCTTCAGCTCCACGAAGTTCTGTTGGCCATCGTCCCTGCGCGCATCGCAGGGAGAACCCGCCGTTAAGCAGAACGGGTTAGAATTCGTTAGTTATCTTTCTACAACGTTCAGACGAATCCTGGTTGAAAGCTGGTCAGGTACACTCGTAACTGGGTCTAGTCAGCACCGAAACCTTTCCTGTGCTTCGCTAGTAGGAGGACTTGTCCCCATAGGCCTCCTAGGGAGATACTTGAAGGCAAAATGCATCCTGACTGCAATTGGTCAATGTTGCCTGAGGATCCACGCTTGGACTTACTAACGTATAACTGGCTTAGTTTGCATCAAACCAGGCCCGTAACCAAGTACTTACCAATGGTACAGCTTGTTCGCCTTGTCAACCGCCCACATGCTGCTCATCCCGACTGACAGATAGCCAGTTGCCTGTGGAACCCGGGTTATGGCAACTCAACTGACTTAATCCGCCTCAAACCAGGTCCGTAACCTAGTACTTACCAATAGTACAGCTTGTTCGCCTTGTCAACCGCCCACATGCCGCTCAGCCCGACTGATACCTGGGTCATTTTCCCGGGGGCCTGGTCCCATGTCGCACCGTTGAACAGCCACACATTGTCCGTCGCATCGGTGCCAACAACCGTCTTCTCGTCCCCGCTGCTGATAGTCTTGAGCTCGCCTGGCATTAGCGTCCAGCCTATGCTGACTGGGGAAGCCTGCAGAAAGGAGTCTCTGCTCAAAAAGATTCAGACGATTCTGTCGAAATGAATTAGGGTTTTCAATTGACATGCATCTCATCGTTTGAGCAACATTAGATCATGACAGGCAGGAGCTGCCAGCAATGCTGCGTCATGTTTCTCCAATGGCAGGCTATGCTGAATTGACTTAAGCTTGAATCTGTCTTTTGCTTCCTGCTAGCTCACAAAACCTTCTTGAGAACCCTTCTCCTACCCAGTTAGTTACTCAGTGCCTGCACGGTGCCACTGTAACTGCATTCTCTTGATCAATGCATGGCAGAAGGGTGTTATCTTTAATTCCACTATATGTACAACTGTTGATTGTTCACTAATTGTCTGTAAGAGCTTACAAAAAGAAGCTGCATTGCTTAATGACAGGCTATTGAGGGCAGGGGCCGTATAGTCTAACCACGTGTTGTCTGTTCACTGCTACATTGTTGGGTTTCGCTACATATATTTGCAATATAAGTTGTGTTTTGTGGAAGGTTTTCAAGCACTCCTTGCAGCAACACACCATCTTCTTGGAAACCTGGCCCTGTCACGTTACTCCAGGGCGATTTCCAAGCGACACTTCAGGTGCTCTTTCAATGTTGTCCAATAATCGCCAACACAATGCTTGAATCCTGGGGTGAGGGGTCAGTCATGGCCCAGCATCCTCAAAACCAACTCAGTTTCTTTCCGGCGCCGACTAGAAAGGCTTGCGACTAAACTTGGTTCAGCACACGAGAAAGTGGGATTTGCAATTCCTCAAGTCTCCACTCCAGTCCTGAGGTCCAGCTGCGCGCAGCGTCTGCGAGGAGAAACACTTTCCAGCTGGAAAGAGAAATCAGAATCATCGAAATCAATAGATCCGAGTGTCTTGGCCTCGTCTGTGTTGCCCTCCAGCATGAATCATGGCGAAACAGACGCTCAGGAAGAGACGGGCTGGGAAGGATAAGACCGGTTCACAAGAGGGGTCGGACGAGGGGTATGTCTACGGGAGGAGCTCTTCAGAAAGCCTTCTTGCCCCTTCTTCTTTTGAAAGCAATCCAATCCCTCTCCTATCTCACGTTGCAGCGTGGATTCCGGCGGGCAGACGTTCACAAGAGGCGAGCTGGACGGATAAAACTGGTCCTGGGGAGGTGACGGATCTGCTCCCTCGGTGCCGATAACGGGCCGGGCGCATGCGCGAACATGCGCGGGGAGTCTCCTTACGGAACGAGAGGTGGGCCAAAGTTCCTCCGTCGCTGTTTGCGCTGTCCGCTTTTGTCTCTAATGAATCGAGCTGGTGTGTCGATTACTCTTTTCCGGTACCTTGAATGCGGAGTCCGTGGATCTTGTATTACTCTGAATTTGAGCATTCACTTCCCGGCGGCTGCCTGCTGTCGATAATCTCATTGGAGACTGGACAAGAAAAAGTGGAAAGTCGTCGCCAAAAGCTCCCGGCAGGTATCTGTGAGCAGGTCCAATAGTGGACAGGAAATGATTCTAGACATGAGTGTCGAAATGAGTGTCGCTCAAGTAAAAGAAGCGACAGTGAAAGGATGTTGCTTTCATTTTTTGACAGTGCGTCGAATTTCAGTGCCTTCACAGATCCTGCTGTCGTCAAAGACTTTGAACAGGCCATGACCGGTTGCCCTCCTTGTGTCTCAGTGCGGGTGCACAACTGGGGACAGACTCCAAACTTCTCTAGAATACTCAGGAGTAAGCTCACGTTATAGTAAAACGGAAGCTAAAATAAAACACCCAGACCCATATAATCACCCGCTCCGCACCCGTACCCACCCTAACTACAGACTAACCCTACCCGTCCCAGTTACTACAACTTGAGCTTACTATACCGAATCTAGAGAACGATACAGGCTCTGGGCGCGGACGACCTCCTCAGGGAACGGGAGAAACGGAATCCGCTGGTACAAGCGCTGGCCGGAAACGGTAGCGGACCGGTCGAGCATAGAGTTCTCCAAGGGTTGACCGCTTGGACTCTGGACGGCAGGAAGGTGAGGTTCCGCTTAGCTGTCGGTCCGTCCGTTGTATTTTAGAAGATCTCAGGCACAGCGGTTTCGGCAGGGCAGAACCCCCGCCCCAAAACCTTTTATCGGTCAACGGAGTTAATGCGAGAGCAACCGAGAAGTACTCTGCTCCCAACCCTCGTGAGGGGGTTGAACAGTCGTGTCCTCTACAGTGGCGTACACATTCAAAGTACCTGCAGGGATTTTCTGTTCGATGGCTTTGAAGAAGTCGTTGGCTCTTCTAATCTGGTTTTTCATGCAGATCAGGAAGCGCACCTCTTTTAAACGATAATTCTTCTGACGTCTGTAGATACTGGCCACAGAGTCTAAACGTTCAGAAATTCGACGCATTATCTGACCCGGTTGGACGGCTGTCCGATGAACCGATTCCAATCGTCGTCTTTCGATTACAAAGAGAAGTCAGACGACTGACCTTCTTGAGAATTACTTCCACCTCGTGAGATGGGCGACAAACGTGATCCATTCCTTCTATGCAGCGTGAGAAGCATTCCGTGCAGAGAAGAAGCATTTCGCAAGAGACGGGCCGGGACGGATAAGACTGGTCGGGGAGAAGGGTGAGACCAGCGCCCTTGGTGCCAGTGACGCGCTGGGCGGCCGCGGCCGCGGCCGCGCCCAAAAGCCGACGGTCTATGGTGATAAGGAACTGGAAGTGAGACAGCCTTTTACCTACTATATCCTCGTCAATCGGCATTTCAACTAGCTGTAGACCCGTGAGTAATGACTGCCATTTGTTATGTCGAGGTTGGGGCACAAAACTCTTTGTCTAGATATTCGAATCTTAATAGCAACTCCGACTGAGGGGTAGCTGACGACTGAACGGCTGACTGAGCCCGCTCGATTCTTTCTCGCTTCCCGATTGCCGGAAACCTCTTTGCCAAATCATGCTACCAGCCGCACGGTAAGGGCTGGGGTGTCGAGCGGCCCTATGCTTACTCGCTTCTATGCCTCGTTTCATGTTCGCTACGTTGCATCCTGACAGGCCTGCCCTATTCAGTCCGTGAGACCACGTGTATCGCAATCAATTTGGTGAACCGGGTCCGTCAAATTTCCCATGGGCTTGAAAAATTGCCAGAGTTCTGCAAAGCATTCGACTCGAGTCTCGACGAGGCGTTTGCCAGCTTAACCTGACGACGATCTCAAAGCGAGCAGCGTCCTCGAGAAGACAAGACGTCCAAGGGAGAAATTATTGAGAGCGTTCGTGCCCCGTCTTGAAGTGGATCCTATCTGATGGCATCGTCTGTTGACTTTGCAGAGTGGATTTCGGCGGGTCAGACGGTCAGCAAGAGACGGATCGCCGGAAAGTATAACACCGGTCCAGGAAAGTTTTGGATAACCACCCCGGTGCCAATGAGGGGCTGGGCTGCCGCACCACGACTGCGCGCGCGCGAGCGCGCGCACACGAGCGCAGGCAAGCGCGCTTGTGGGACTGGACTTTTCAGACAAAGGAGGTGGGGTAAACAGTCTTCGCTTCCTGTGTTTTGTCCTTTCCTTGCCTCTACAATTCCTTTGAAGATGCGGCACCAAGTTCAGCTTGACGATCACTTTCCTGTACACTCATCTTTGAAGATGCGGCACCCAGTTCAACTTGAAGATTAATCGTTGAACATTCGGGACCGGTTTCAGCTTCTTCAAGCTTTGAAAGTGCAACCCGGATGCCCACAAGTCTGCTGCAGCCGAATTTGTTCGCTGGGGCATTTGGAGAAGAGCACGCCCTGGAAAAGACTCGTTCGGGGAAGGGGAACAAGTTCAGGTTAATTCAAAATTCTAATTGCTAACAAGAAAGGACGGGGAAGAGATTTAGGTTATCTTACATTTCTCATTTCCAACAAGAAGTCAACACCAAGTCCGCAGAATCTAGACGCACACGCCAGACCTCGTTCGGACGCTCACACGACGTCTTCGGTCGCAGGTACATGTGTCCGGACTCCGGCGGTCCGCTGCCGCACCGCCTGGCGGACTACCGGAATGGAACGCTTCGTTTAAGGCAAGTTCCGGCCCGGCCCCGCCTGCCCTGCCAGGCTGGATGCGCCGCGGGGGCGCGCGGCCGCCAGGCGCCGCCCGCCGCGGAGAAGCCGGAGAATCTTTAAGGGGGCGTCCTGGGACCCGTCACGCTTCGGCGACCAACTAGCCCGTATGCCGGTAGTTTGGTCGCTAAATCTGGAACCACGTGACCAAATTTTTGGCGACACAAGATGTGGAGTTGCTGCGAAGGGACCGCCGGAGTACCACGTGGGTAGACGCCCTCTTTAAGGGCTTACCACTTCGAATACTATACGACAAGAAGGTGGGCTTCCGCCCGGCTGTCGGTCTTGAAGTCGCAAAGTTTTCCAACCTCAGGGACAACTTGCTTTAGACAAGACCGAACCCGGCGCGGAATTTTCTCTCAGCCAGCCATCGATGTGCGAAGGCAAACATCCCTTTTTTTGTGAGGCGGTTTGTCAGTCTTCCTCTCTGAAAGAAGCATAATCGTACGTAAGATCCGCAAATGGAAGATTGCTTGATTGGCTGCCGATCTCAAGTTTTGTCTCATGTGAATTACAGTCTTTGTCATCGTTGAGGAAGCCGCTTTGTAAGTCGCCTCTTTCTTCTGTATAGCTTTCTGGTACAAATATCACCCGCGTCTCTGTATATGACCGAATACTCTTGACAATTCCAGGACATGAAGCGTTTCCTGATTGGGTTGAACAGGATGTCTCACCAGCTCCTTCCACAAGGCGTCTTCAATCGCACAAAACTCAAGCAGATTCCTTTCCTATCCAAAATTTGACTCATAGATTTGGCTGCAAAGCGGGTCCGTTTCTATTGTGCAGCTTGAAGCCCATCGAAGTGGCCGTCATCAACAAGAGAACAACCGGGACGAACAAGACAGGTGGGGGGAACAGGGGAGACCAGCGCTCTCGGCGCCGGTAACAGGCTGAGCGGCCGCGGCCGCGGCCGCGGCCACACAGATTGCTCTCTGTACTTGAGGTGAGACGAGTTTCCTCCATCGACCTAGGATGTCACAAGGTTTCTAATGCGAAGTCGTTCTAAACTATCACATGCCTGTCCACTCATCAAGGTTGAGGACGAAAGGTCTGTTGGTTTCAAGCCCCCCGTTCTGGTTCCGGGACAAGGGGGGTGCCGACGGCTGCGCGGGTGAACGGGTGAACTTAGTTACGGGGCAAGGTTTCCGGTCTTTTTAAGTGGGACAAAATCATGTTGACTGCCGAAACACGGTGCACCAATTCATCGGCGCTTCCTGATCATAGCATTAATTTCCGGAGTCGAGTCTTTTGACAACTTCGGTATCAGAGTCAATCACAGAACTTGGCCGACAAACTGCTAAGTTCAAAACATCAGAGAGCAACTCTTAGCGAACAGCCTAGACGATACTTTGAAGACGCAATAGCTAGGTGATACAGTGCGCAGTGGTCAATTGCGGCAGTTTTTCCGGTGTTCTCCATGTGGAAAAAGTTCGCGTTGGCGCCCAGCGCTGCAGAAGAAGAAAGTTAAGCGGTTCAATTTGCCTCCGGGGTGACACGTACGTCTAAACCGCTGTCGACTCAGGAAACAACGCTTCTGGTGCCGCTTTGCTTCAAAGAGTATCCCGCCTTTTCGGAGCAAAGATGCTCCTTTTTCGGTTCCGTTCAAATTGGGTCGAAGGCGCGCCGGCCCGGTGGGCAGGCCAGATCTCAGAGCAACCCTCCCTTGTGAATAAAAGTCCCGATATATATGGTCGTCTATTCGCTCCAGATTAGAGTCTGATATGGTTCCGTTACTTTTCTTATCGATCAGATGATTGAAGAGGAGGAACGCAACCGACGAACTTCGCATCGAACAGATCGCAAAGAAAAACGCTGCACCTCCAGCACAGCGGTCAGGACCTCTCCAGATCCAAAGCACGGCCCAAGCAAGAAAGTGCGACTTTCGGCGCTCGCTCTTAATCCTAGCAGGAAAGATGGACAACGGCGCGCTCGGTGGGCGCCCGTTAAAGCCGCGGGCCATGCGTCGACGAAAAAAATCGGTGCACACGTGGCAGCCCGTTTGACCACGGCCCGGTTGGTTGCTTGAGCGCGGCTCGGTGTCACGAAGACCGATTGAGGCGGCGGAACGGCCGACAGGCAGGGCTGGCCACAGTCTACAGAGAGCACGTGGCGCCAATTGGGGGGCCGAAGTGAGCGGAGGCCAGGGCGGCGAGACTATTTATTTCCTCGGGGTCACGGTGGCGCTGGGTGGGGGCAAGGTGTAGGTTTGGAACAGCGGTGACCAATTTCAAGGATGTCCGCTCTTGAGCGGTTTGGAAAGAGTGTTCCGCTGAGTACGGGCCGGAAGTTTTAGGGCCGCTCGGCACGGTTTGCTAAGAGGACACGTAAGAGCGGGTGCCGGCATCGCCATAAACTTCCACTTCGGCGATGCCATACGGTAATTTAAGTACCTAGGAGAACGTAGAGAAGAATATGAAAGATTGACGGTACAGACATCCGCACAGTTGCACGATTTTTCCAAGGTTACAGTATGCCCAGCTTTCCGATGAGTCTCTACATTTCCATCAATAAAGTCGTGGCCGGTTCCGCAGGCTAAATCAGCGCGGCGCTGATCGCATGCATGTGCCATTGGCATAACGTAGGCTGGACGCAAGCTTGAGATAGTACGTTTTTTCGTAATCTCTTAAAGTGCATACAATCAGGTTGAAATGCAAATGACATTGGTCTTTTGCTGCCAACCGCCGTGCTGGCTTGTGGGCGGACAGCCTGCCGGCAGCTTCCGCACCAAAGGCAGGCTCCGAGGATAATAGCCAGCATCATTGCCTCAGCTTGCCAAGTTGCGGTAGTGACGGGATCATTGCGAAAGCTCTGGCCGGGACGCCGGGTATGCCGAACCGTCGGCGGTCGCGGCGCAGCCGCGACTCGACCGTCGTTTCCGCCCTTCATAGTACATTGCATGATTTGCCCGACCAATGAATCAATACTGCATTCAGAATCCGTAGATTATTGTATGCACATGGTGCATGCGAATTTATGTTTGTCAGAACAACCCAGCCTGCTAGGCCCTTAGCAGCGCGGCGCGCCTACGCGGCTCCGCCGCATGCTGCGCGGGGCATCATGTCCGTGCGGCGGCCGTGTGCTGTGTGAACGTACCGTGACGGACCAGATGGCGCGCAGCTCTTCTTCTTTCTACATGTAGAAAGTCTTGTCACACTTGGAGAATCAAACATAGATACAGAATGGCCATGCGTATCCTTCCTCTAGAGGGAGACGCATTGAGTTAGCCCCGCGCCCTCACTGAGGAACTCCAGCTGCAGACACGAATCAACGAACTAGATTGGAAACTGTAGCTATAGAACGGCGAACACTATCCTAGCTAGCGTCCGCCGGGCGTCTTACAAAGGAGCGTCAGTGGCCCAGAGAGGTCCAATGGTCAGATGACAACTGAATGTTCTCAAGGCCACAATGCTGTTTGGAAAAAGTCGCCGTACGCGACGAGATGCATAGACGGCAATCTCATCGTCCCCGTGCATTTCAGGACCTGAGAGCTGAACGCCGCCGTCCCTTCCCTTTATATATTCACTGGACTATACAGTTGGTCCAGGATTCCGCCAGAACTGTTTCCGGCAGTAGGAGAAGCGCGCCGAAGCTTTCGTCTTCTGGTTGGCGACTTGAGGCTTTTGCGCGCCTTCCACGTGTCACTAATAGCCTTCGAAAGGGGCTACGGAGAGAATAAGACCCTCATAAAGCACCAGTTTTCGATGCACGCAGCGAGGAGAACTTCAACGCCAATCAAAAAGGGACTTATATTTAGTGGGTACCGACTACCAAATCAGGTTGATTCAAATTTTGTGGCATGGTTAGTCCAACAGTAGGACTTTTTATTCAGACTCGTTTTGAATTCGCCGTCTTTTAAGTGACGAACAGTGGTTGAGCGCACTCCAAGATATCGGCAGTACTACGGGGACCTCTTCATGATAAGTGAAGTGCAACTCAATCAGAACCCCTGTAATTTCTGCTAAGACCAAATCCTCCTCTCTCGACCTTATTGGAACGAACTTAAAACTATCTCTGGACGCGGGGAGGTGGCGAGCGTTATAGGAAGCCGGCCGGAGAAAGAAAACCAGGGGCAAAACTACCGCCGTTTACACTAACCTGAGTACCCGGCCCGTAAACGTGATCCGGGTCAGAAAGCTCAAAGGATTAAGACGCAACCGAGAGAGTGGCAGGCAGTACCGGTAAGCGTTGTGCGTCGTCCGTCTGCTAGATACGTAACCGCTTTGAGAAGAGGTTGTAGGATAGCACTGGCACGGAAGCCGGTTGCTCATCGCCTGAACCTTTCACACTCAAAGCACCGAGAACCGAGAACCGACGAGCGCGGACACAGATTCTTGCAGCAAGTTCTTCTCCAACACAATTCGCTAGTCACGCGAATCATCTTACCGTCGGCCGAATGAAGGCAGCGGAGCTGAAAGCCTACGGAAGGAGAGCAACCCACGTTTGCATGAAAGGCAGAAAGGTCCATCTCGTGATCTGCCGAATCAATCGAAAAACATGGCAACATCCTCAACTCGATGTTGCCAGGTGGATCGACAAGCAGCTCCAGCGGCTGATCATGAGCCGCAAATAAGACGGCCTGCACAGAGCCTGAGACATGTGAGGACCTGGGTCGAGGGGCTCCGCAGCCGATGAGATCGGCCGCCTAGCAACTATTGTGCAGTTAGCTCAACGAACTGATCTGACGTTCAACATCCCTGTAGTTGGCGGGCGGACGTAAATGGTGAACCGAGTGCTGGCGAGACTAACCCAGTCTTTGCAAGAACAGATGCAGCCCGGAGAGGCGGGTTCAAGCAGCAAGCGGCCCCTTGGCGCCTTTCAAAATGCACGTGTAAACGCTCCGGTCAACTTTGATACCCGCGGCCGCATCGCGCGTAATGGCTTTTGTGAGAGCTCTTGTTCGAAGCACCCTCGATTGTCAAATTCGGGCTTGGAAGGTGGTCGCGAGATGACGGACGGAGGAAAGGAACGAATATAGGAAGAGTGAGGTAGGCCGTAGAACTGTCAAACAGAACGATCGACTTTCCGACAGTGTCCGCAGTTGGTGTGTAAGGATGGTTCTCTTAAGCCACTAAGTTCGTGTAATTCTTTTGGATACTTATATAGTATGCTTTCCACGAGTAGTTGGCACAGATAAAGCTCTGACCAGACAGCACACCGATTCCAACGGCCTCCTGAGAGCGGGGTCCGTACTCCGATCCGCTCCGAACACAAAGCTTTGAGTCAGCGCTCCCAGCATCTGTGGGTCATATTTGCCAGTTCCTCAGAGAAGGTTTACGAAAAAGCCTGACTCACCTGGATTGGATTATGAAACTTTTTTTCAAAAAAATGCTGATTGCAAAGCTGATCGCAGAAAAAGCTCCTTCCGGACGGACGGGACGAAGGGTCTGGTTGAGAAACCGACGAGGAACATGGACGAACGAACCATATGGAGAAGCCCTTTCTCAGTGGGGGAGCACTCTCGTTTGCACTCGTTAGGCTTATGTTTTTGCAGAGACACAGCTAACCGTAAGTGCACAGCTATGACAAGCCTCAATCGCTGAGCCATATTCGACCGTCACATCTTCGTCAGCCGTCACGTGGTCCCCTTTCTTGTCGGTCTCGTTCGTTGCCAGATGGCTTCTCCTCTTTAAAAAGTTCGTAATACGTTTTGGGCCCGCTCTATACCGGGAATGCTCCTCGGCCAGATGAACCCAGCGCTCCCCTGGAGCCGCCCCCTCACGTGGCTCACCCCTTCGCCACGTGTCTTCCTGTTCTACGAGAATTCTCAAGGGGATCCTCCAATTTTGAGCGTGCCCCGAAAGTCATGTCCGCTTCCCCGTCCATTATAGTGGACAGCTCTTGAATCGTACTCATACACTGATTGATGAAGGTTTAAAGGGCTTTAGGACTTGGGCTTTCTAGCGCTTGACAAAAGCGCGATGGTCCGGCCTCGCGATCACCCGCCAGGCCGTGCAAAGCGGCGGAATGACTTTTAGCCGTCGGAAGACGATACACATTGTTTAATAGATTACCTGTCCAGTTTTGAATGTAAAAGGGGACCAGCAAACAAGATGCCGAAACGATTCTATGTGGACGCAAGCAGTGTTTAATACGTTGTACTTGATACTGAGTGATGGAAGGAGGAATTCGGAAAATTTCGGAAGATCAAGGGCGTATCACCAGTGAGGTACTAAGTATTCTGCCCTTCGAAAGTGATGATTGCTCGATACATCAACACTAGTTTAGCGTTATCTTCTTAAATCTGCGTCCTGAGGGTGCTGAAAGGCTTTGGACAAACCCCTCATCGAACTCGCAGGGCCGCCCCGAAAACGGAAGTCCACTGTCTGAAATACTCTGAACGTAAGCAGTTGCAAAGGAGTACCAAAGGAGAAAAGGTGTACCAGTCTCCCAGTGATATATATTTGAATCAGGTCCTCGAAAGATCGCAACACGTCGGAGAAATATGATTGCGCGCAGCCTTCTGCTTTTCTCTGCTGTCTGCCGATGCATGTTGATACTTTTGGGTGCGACTCTGAAAGGGCGCCCCGAACTTGCCCGCGCGCCACAGGCAATGGTGTGTGCCGCGCGCAAGCTAATCTACAGGGCCCACAACATGTGTAAACCCGAGCCTTGCTTTGAAAGCTCGGCCAGGCCGGCCAACTGTGGCGTACCAAGTGCTTAAAATAATTCTTGTCTGGTTGCCTGCCAAATCAAGGCATCGTGTCAAAACACCTTTATAGCGGTGCACTGAACTCCGGTTTTTCGAAGTTTTGAGGGGGGCATGGAAGCCGGTTTTGAGTAAAACCCGAAATTGTCCGAGTGGGTATGGAAGCCGGTTCTGCTTTTCCCTCACCAACTTCACTTTTGGGCGGAGTTATGGAAGTTCGTTCAAGGCGTTGAAGTTTTTGGAGGGGGGCTATTTCAAGAAGAGAGACGTTTCTGGGGTCGTTTTCTCCGGCAGCGTAGACCCCCAACAAGAATCCTGTGTCAACGGTCCGTCAACGGAAACCAAAATTTCTCAGTTAGGGCTATACGTATGTGTCTAGTTCTTGAAGGCACCTGGTTCTAACCTGAGTTACAGTAAAACCTAAAGCGTTTTGCAAGCCAGATCAAAGGTGAGGGGGTGGAAGCGGTCAGTTACAGATATTGTACTACTAGGGGTCAAAACTTCGACTAGAGAGGCACCCCCCCTGGAGGTCGGTTTTAGATGCTCATGGGCCTTCAGTTGGACCCCCTGGAAGCCGGTTTTTAAACCGGAGTTCAGTGCACCACTGCAAAAGTGTATTGACACGATGCCCTTGAAGGCCGCTCTCCCCTTTGAAGCAAACGACGTGATGATGGCCGAGCCATGAGTGCCGCGGCCGCCCGGGCGCACAAACATGCGCACGGCGGCCGCCGCACGTGCAGTGACCTCTCGACCAATTAGTGCCCGGGGCAGAAACTGTCCGCCACCAGCAAGCCGGTTAAGAATGTAACCGGTATCTATAGTGCACCCTGAGCTGAGGGCCTGAGGGCCCGGTCGACAGACTTACCGGCACAGTGTAAACAAATCACCGGTCAAAGGAGCTATTGCTGCTATGTAGGTAGCTGGAGGCCACTCCCCCTGCACCAACCCCAGGCTGCCCTGCAATGCTGTGCTCATGCTGTGTGCTCATCATATTGTGATGGTGTTATTTACAATCCGACCGTTTTACCGGTGATTTAACCTTATTGGCAGGCGCTCAGATTCTTAAGTAGAAGAACTTAGAGGCGGAGAGCTGAAAAGCCTGTTTTTGGCAGGTCAAGAGAGCAGCATCACATCAAGGAAGCAATTCGTTCTGCTCTTCTGTTCTTGCTTGCAGGCAGTATTCTTTTTTACCGAAGGAAGGGGCCTAAGGGATCTCACCTACCTTATTTGGATGTAAGTGAGCTGGTGAGCTGGCGGCTGTCAGTCCTCATGCACCAGGTGAGCCCTTAGGCACAGGTGACACCCTGCTTTACAAACTTTGCATCTGTAGGTATCGTGGTGTTGTGATAGGTGCGACAATATCGCTGGCGCTAGCACACGGTGCCTGAGAGCTCGCTTTCATGTTCATTGGAGGCTTGATAGCCGCAGCGTGTCCAATTTCGGAGGTTGGTGTGAGGAATGTTGTTGATTCAACGCCCAGACTGTGCTTCTGTCAGGAGGTGGATCTGACTCCTGCCTCCAGTCTCACAAAAACTCTTCTTGCTGGCGGCAACGAACTCTTCCTGGTCACTTTGGCGCGAAGGTGCCATGTCTTTCCTGTCCCGGTTGAATTGTGTATCTCTTGACAAGAGCCTTTGAAGGTAGGAGCTCACGATGTCATTTCTTCATTCCGCGGGCGGCCCACAAAAGATATCCTCTTTAGGTTTTGGGTACCTCCACTGGCTAAACCCTCCTGCGGTTTGTTGAAATTCAACTAAAGAATGTCAGGATAGGAGGGTACACAGAAGTTGTTTCTGGATTCTTTGTCTACGTGCTTCCCATTCTCTCTTTATCCATCATGCTGTAGTGCTGCGCGGAAGTAAGTCAAAAGAATGACCTGATGGGGCACTCTTCCAAGTTCTATGAGTAGACAAGTAATTGATTCAGGTATCCAGGTATGCATTTTTTTAACGTCTTGGCTCCAGCGAAGTGGTGCCTTCAGGGGCTGCAGTGACTTTGTACATCACACCTAGCATTTGGAAGCAACTTCGACAAGGAATCGATTTGCGCAGACCCCGGTTGATACATGGATCAACTCAGATGCTGTTCCTGATGGAGTAGTTGAGCTGTAGTCAAGCAGGTCCTCCAATGCGTGTTTCCTGGTTGAAAGGTCGCACCTTGGGTCCAGATTCACGGTGTCCGTTTTTGTCTTTTGGAGAACTTGCAGCGCTTTCGCTTAAATTGTGCAAATCCGAGCCTGATCCAGCCTTTGAGATTCTATCAAGAGGCAATATTGATAGCAATTCCTGTTCACAAGCTGCTGAATCCTGGTAGGCATTCTTGGAGGTCATGGATTCAAAGCACGGACATGTATGCGCAAGCTAGCAATGTTCAGATATCTGTGCCCCTTTTACATCGACTTAAAGGGTTTTCAGAGAATTGAACACAGTTGGTGTCCCGGCAGCCGCAGTGACTGCAAGGCGATCATCTTTCATCTGCCAACGTCAATTACAGTCTGTTTCCAATCATTGTGCTGTGCCTTAACACCACAGGGGCTTCGAATAGAGCCTCTATAGGAACGTATGGCCAGCTTCCGGGGCCATGAAATATTGCTCCTAACATCGCGGCCACTATACCGGTGATTTACTTCTCGTCTTCTTTTGCAGATTTTAAACCTGGCAGTTCCAGCGCTACAGTTTCAGCAGTATGTATTTTGTCTTATTGAAATTACGTTGAGGGCTATCGATTCCAAGTTTCTGGGAGAGGCGCCAGGTGAGACGAAAGCTTCAGAATTTGCGAATCGCTTATGAACATTTCATGCGCTTACAGCGAAAGGAGACTTGAATGGACTGCTTGTTGGATGGGGATCCAGGTAGGCATCAGGACTTGGGGTTGATATTTAAGCTGACATCTTCTTCTCCCCTGACAAGATCCTTGCATTGGTGTAGAGCGTGAGGCTTGCAATCCAAGAACGGGAGGACAGGTGGAGGAAAGCTCGCTCAATCTCAATAACCGCACATAAAAGAAGAGTGTGTTGCTTCTATCTATCTGGCAAAGATTCGTTGCACTACTCTCCAACCTCGTTACGTGCCGCCTCTAAATCATCATTGCTCGTCTCTGTTGTAGCTTGTCTCTCTCTTCTTCAGGGGTGGAGCTAGGGCGGCTCAGATACATTCTTCCTCTTTAACCGCCACCCAGGTTATTGCTCAACCGCTTGATAATAAAGCGGTAACTCCAGGGATTCAAATACCTTGGTTTACGTGCAGGCCCTAAGTGAGCTGCTATATGCAAAGCCGGGATTATATTGGCGCCTGAGGTACAATCATCAAGACAACCGTACTCCGGCTCCTATACTCTTCCATTAAGGTGAGGGTCCTGGAGGTCGATTTTTCTGTCGTTTCCCGCCGTCAGAGTCGTGCCTGGTTCTCAATCTGCTTCTTCGGCTTGGGTAAAATTTGCTCAGAACAAAGCAGGAAAAGAGTTCTCGTTGGGAGTCGGGTAAAAGGCATGGCATGGTGCAGATACCAAAAGGTGCGAATTTTAAAAACTGCCCGTTGAGAAACCGAGCGCGAGAACGCACTTCTTCTTCAAAGTTTATGAAAGACTGTCGGTGATGTAACCCGAGCTTGTCTGATGAATGCCTTCCTAGTACTTATCTCTTACTGTTTGGGTCCCTTAAGCCCACGAACGGCTTCAGCTGCCAGACGTATGCCTGCAGACGTATTCCTTCCGCCTGTCCACTTCTGTTTTCGGAGCAAGGCGCAGTGACGGCATGTCGCGCATTCCGTCACAAAAGCGGGGTTCAAACTTGAAATTGGTTGAACTCAAAACGGCCTGGCTCATGGACCCAGGTCGTTGATGAGCCTAGGTCGTCAACGAAACTGAAACACCTTCCTCTTGAAAACGTCCCAGGAATGCATTTGATTCGTCGCCTAATTGTGTGTTCGTACTTTCAGAATCTTTCATCCTCGATAGTGTGCCACTGGCAGAGGTCGATCGGAAAGTGATCTCACTCCCGCCAGGATACCTCGCTCACTGTCAATCCTGACTCCCACTTCCATTACGCAGACACCTGTACATTGTCCTGCTGATGTTTGAAAGAGGGCCGCTGTCTCTCGTGTGCACGGATTCCCCTCACATACTCCCATCGGTGAGAAGCTTTAGCCAATTCTTCTGAAGCTTCTATGGGTACACGAACCCGTCTGGACGGGTACAGTCTAAATCCTGAGGCTTGTTTGATTCAGGCCCTGTGTATTTTTTTCCAAAATCTCCAGATTGTTGTGCCGTCAATCAATCCTGGTGACGTGTGCTGTCAGGACTACGTCTGGTTCTTCTTTCATTGTCCGGCTCTTGTCTGAGAAGCTTGCATTATTTCATAACGCTTTTCAGCATAAAAGAAACTCCTGATGTGACTCACTGGATGCAAACACTGTTTTTTTCCTGCTTTCGAATTGGTCGTGTTTGGTTCTCCTTGTGTGTCCCTGGCATATGCAACTTGGCCACCATCACCGAATTTTTTTTGTGGAACCTTTTGAGGGTTTGCAGTTTCGGACCCCGTGAACCGATTCTGTTGATCCTTCTCAGGCTTCATTGGACGAGTGTGTCGTCCTTACTGCGTCTGACGGTATCAAAGTTTCAATGTTGGCAGTTGGCAGAGGATCTATAGTTTATACTTTAAGTTCTGTACTCTCTCCTTTATGGCTCGTTTCTGATTGATTTTGAAGTCGCGACTAGTCTCTTCACTGCTTTCCCAATGAAGAGATTGCTCTAATAGAACACGTATTTTCGTTCATGGACTCTTTGGCCAATCCTTGAACTTTTGGTTTCCTTTTTTGCAGGTCTTGTCCTAAAAACGCACTCAATATAGCCCCAAGCAGCCAATAACCGACCAGCCGAAATAGCCCACTCTTTGTGGAGTTCCATCTGAAGCCTGCCGAGCTTCAGGGTTGCTCGTCGCAGGTAAGCGGTTACAGGCGGGCCTGCCCACTTGATGCTTCAGCTTCTGGCTTGATGGTCCCGCTTGAGAGATACCTGTCCATATGTAACTTTTAAGATGGTCCACCTGCCTTGCATGCAACTGATATGGTCTGCGGGAACATGACCTCAAGCCGGAGCCGAAGTTGATCGTGCATTGCACGTTGTGATTGAGGGCGAATAAACTTCGAGCGCCCTTTCGTAAGATAGGACAAACGTGGGATTAATCTGCGTCCTTCAGAACTTGTTAGCTTTGCTTCAGCTGGCAGCTACTATCTGGAACCTTCTGTACTTCTCCTGTCTCAAGTGCTTAGTCGTACAAGTGACATTAATGGAACCTCCCTTTTTTGATGTACCCTCTTGCCTAAGATATCAGAAGGCCCCTCGGAGGTCCCTGGGTCATAATCTTTTGGGCCAGATATGTCGTGATTGAAATGGGCCGGGGGTCCTTGTGCCCCTAATTTCCTGTGACAAGAAAGAAGAAGGAAGAGTCCGCTCGTCAATCGTCCGGTGCTTCAGCATAGATCTGACTTTTATGCATTTGACATCATGGCAGCTCTGATTCCGGCGAACATTTCGTTCCTCCGCACAAGCGGCGACGACGTTCTTCCCGTCTCATTTTCCAGGTGAGGCCTCCCGTCTGCTATATTGTGTAGTTCAGGCAAAATCTGAATGTAGGGTCCGAAACAAATCTGGTCAACCTGGGCTTGTGTCAGATTTCTTGAACCGTATGGGTGACCGGGATTCCGGTGCTTGAGTGTGCGGTTTCCAAGACATTCTCTCCTGCGCGGCTTCAATTGGATCATTGCGCCGGGCGTGTGACCTGAAGGCTGATACCTTTTTGAATGCAGCACAATCTGGCTTGCTGGGCTGGCTTTGGATAGAAAAGAACTATGTGCATTGAGTTTTCCGTGAGAGGTTTAGACCAACATGTCGATACTTCATTCTTGTTTCTGGGATTCTAAATAGAAAGGTTGCAGCTTTTCACATTTATGAAGCATAGGCAAGTTACCAGTGAGGCATGCTCTGAGTTCTTGCGACCTTTATCAGCTGCTAGCGCTCACTTGTTGATAAACGCGAGCTCGGGACTCGCAGCCAGCTCGTTGGTACTCCGAGGATGTTTTCAGCAGAAGCTGCCATCAGATGCTTACATGCAGAGTCGCAACCAAGGGCTCATTCATTCTTGTCCGTGCAGTTTTAGCCGCAAAAGTGGAAGGTACACATGTTAAAGGTGGACCTCGGTGAGTTTCCTTTGGGCGCGGCCATACGAGGTGACCGCAAAGCACAATGGAACCTTGCACGGTGCTATTATGATGGGAAGGTCGTTGCCCAAGACTTGGAGGAGGCCTTTCGCTGGTGTGAGAAGGCCGCAAGACAGGGCCACGTAAAAGCGCAGTTTAAGCTTGGTTGGTTCTACTACACCGGCAATGGTGTACTCAAGGACGACGCGCGCGCGGTGGAGTGGTTCAGGAAGGCGGCCGACCAGGGGCATCATTATGCACAATTCAACCTGGGAGTGTGCTACGAGTACGGCAAGGGGGTGGGCAAGGACGTTGCACGCGCCGTAGAGTGTTACAGGAAGGCGGCCGACCAAGGAAATGCGGATGCACACTCCAAGCTGGGTTTGTGCTACGAGCACGGCAAGGGGGTGAGTAAGGACGGGACGCGCGCCATGCAATTGTACCGGAAGGCGGCCGACCAAGGGCATGGAGCTGCCCAGAGCAACTTGGCCGCCATGACTGTTGAGGGGGGGGGAGGCCTATCACAAGATTGGGTTGCTGCCGCGAAGCTATTTGAATTGGCGGCAAAGAATTCGGACCAGCTATCCGATAAGCTCTGCCTCGCATGGCTGTTGTGGACAGGAAGAGGTGTCGATCAGGACATTATACGGGCGCAAGCTTTGGCCGCACAAGTCCGCAGTAGGGCAAGAAATGCTAAGCTGTTGGTGCAACCTGTCGCAATAGGACCGTTCTGGCCAACGGTCCTCAAGTGGTTCTATAGTACGACATGGTTCGACAGCATGACGACGCCTGGAACCGGGCTCTCACAGGTTGCACCCGAGCCACAACCAGACAACACTGTAACAACGCCCAATGGTGGGCCGCTGCGGAATGCGTCCGAGCCACAGCCTAACAATACCACGACAATGCTAGAAGCTGGGCCCCAAAAGGTTGCTTCCGAGCCACGGCCTGTAAACACCTTGCAAAATCCGTCCGATCTCCAGCCTAACCACGCCACAACAACGTCTGAGGCCGGAACCTCCCAGGTGGCTTCCGAGCCACAGCCTGACTCAATTGACAGCACTACTACAATACTTGAAGCGGGGCCTCCACATGTTACACCCGAGCCACACCATGAGCTCCTGAACAATCTCAAAGATCGTGTAGCCTTCCTCGAAATGCAGGGCGGAGTACTTGACGATCTGGCTCTTACCAAGACCGAGCGGAAGTATCTAAGTCAGGTGCTTGGGCGAGAAAATGATCTGGACGCAATCGAGGAGGAGCGCCGGGACATAGTCAAGGACCCGTGTATGCGAAGATACTACCTCGCGCTCCAGCAAACCCTGTGCGGGATGTTTGTTGGGGCGCAAGCGTGTCAGAGCGGCTTGGTGAAGAAACGGCACGACCTTCTCACCCAAGGAGCTATCGAAGCTTCAAGTAAGATTGTTGGCCTCCTGCCAGTGTATGGCCATTTGGCCGAGGGTGTGGTCAAGAGCGCGGCACAGGAGGTTGCAGATTACTTCGCAGGGAAGAATGCGGAGCGCATTGCTAGGGCGGGCGGCACGGACGGGGCCCTGGTCAGTGAGGGCGTGGCGAGATACCTCGTGTTTGCGAGGAAGGGGGAGCTTTCGTCCGTTCCTAGAGACGCGTACGAGAAGGCAGTGTCGAAGGTGGTGAAGGCGGACGTGGAGAAAATGATGACGTGGATCAAGTCGGAGAGCGACTTGAGCACCATCCGCGAGGAGTCTGACGTTACGGGAGAGCAGGTGGTGCGGAGGCTTGTGGCGGCGGCGGAGCCGAGTTGGGCGCAGACGATTACATTGGCAGCAGCTCCCGGACCGGCGGTCGCTGCTCAGTCCCAGCTGGGTGGAAGTGCGGGAGCGGCGGGAGCACCCGACTCAAGTCAAACCGTGGACGTTGAGACGTTCCGGAAACTGGTGTCGGAAATGGACGGGTTGAAAGAGCAGATGAGGAAAATAAAGGCAACAATGCCAAACGAAGGTACTGCAGCTTTTGAGATTGATGCTGGAGGCGGGCAAGCGTTCGTGCAGGTTCAGTCACAAGAGAGTGCAACTGGTGGCGCTAGTAGGGCGGACACCTTAAACCTCCAGCGGGACTTTGCACAGCTGTGCGTGGTCGTAGACGAGCTCAAAGGCAGGATAGACTTTTACGAAAAGCGGGGCTTCAGGGCCTCGTAGAATCTGCATTGACTGGCAAAACTCAATACCTAGTAAGGGGCGGAGTAGTTTTGCATGAAGAAACAGACCGCAATGGATAAGTTTTGCTTAGGATAGACCAGCGCCCTCGGTGTCGGCGAGGGCTGGCCCTGCCAATTGCACGGCCACAATTTTCGTTGAGTATAGTCGTTCGAGCGAAAGGCTTCCTTTCCACGAAGGTGAGCGAATCGCACTCCCTCTCTGCCTTTGGGACTAGCTCGGCAGCAGTGCGCCCTTTTCTCGTAGCCGGTTTGCTTTTTGGCCAATCGAGATCAGGCTTTGTACTTCATTCTGGGCCTGGCTGGACGGAGAAGATCGTTCTGCCGTTTGACGTGCGCGAACCGCGTGATTTTATCTGCTCAACTTTCAGAAAGTACCTTCGGGATACCCGATGCTTGAGGAACAAAGAACGTAACTTATCGAAAAAGGACGGACGCAGGACCCGCTGATCACGCTTTGTTTGCAAAACACGGCACATTTAGGAGCGGCAGTGAGGAATTTCACCATGTCAATCCTCCTATCGATTCAAAAGGGCCGAGATCCTGCAGCCAAGGGTTTTGTAGAAACTCTATCATTCTTGGATCTCTTGCCCGGCCGTATTCATGGCGGCCACTGCTCTCAGTCGCCAAACTCGTACTCTGCGGGGTGCTTCGATCTTGGGACGGAAAGAGAGGACTAAGAGGAAACCTTACAAGTAAACGTAACCCAGAGTCGATTTTGCAGTATTTTTGATTTTTAATGCTCCCGTCTTTCTATGATGGCCCGATGCCTTGAACGGTCTCTGCAATCGGTGCCTGTCTTTCTTTCTCCAGCGGATGCCAACTTGGCAGAGAAGGAACGTTAGAAGCAGCAGCGTCTTCAAGACAACTTCAAACGCTTTGCTTTGCCAACGAAGCCAACAATATCCTTTTCTGCAGCGTGGATCAAAGCTGCGTAGACTGTCAGCAAGAGACGGACCGGGATGGATAAGACTGGTCGACGAGGTAGAGCGGCCAGCGCCCTCGGCGCCGGTGACGAGCTGGGCTGCCGCGGCCGCGGCCGCGCGCGAGGAGACACGCTCGGGGCGAACTGCTCTTTGTACTGACCGTGGTGAGTAGAGTGCCCTTCTCTGCAGCCTCTTCTCTTCAAACGAAATCGGAGCGGATGGCTTCCTTTACTGACGTTGGTGAATGGAGTGTCCTTCTCTCCAGTCTTTCTGTTCTACAGCAGTCGTGCGCGCTCTTCTTTGCAGCTATACCGCGCCGAAACGTGGAAGATCGGTCTTTCTAGGGCAGCAGACTCTGTTTCGCCGCCAGATCCGAGGGCAATCATATGATCAGCTATTCTTTTTTAGTTTCTGTCTTGTGGAAGTCCGTGGATGCTAGTTCCGATTCACGACGAGATGTAACAGACAAGGTGGTTTGGCAAAAGCAGTGGGCAAGCTCCGCACAAGCGTGCGCGTGCAAAGATTCGCCGGAGCTCAAGCGGACTATCTCGTCAGGCGCTTTTATCCACCTGGACCTTGTACTCCTCTAATGATCCTCAACAAATGGTCGTCGGAATTAGCACGCTTCAAAGGATTTTGACCGGACGCTCTGCTCTTTTCAGGCTCTGCACTTGGGAGAAGCACCGGGTGGTAAAGCCTTGCTTGGAGATGCGGCGGAATCCCAGTTCCGCTGAGACAAGCGCCCGGGCATCGCTGGCGGACAGTGCAAGCACGGCTCGGTCTCCGCCGGAATGAGTGCTGCACGTGCCAGTCATGGTAAGTACTATCCATCAGGCTGTTAGCAAGACCGTTAGCTGAAGATTAGAGGGTTCGAGAAGGACATGTGAGCTTCATATCAGGTATACAAGCCTCAAGGCTCCTTCGCGAGCAATCCGTCGAGGAAGCTTCTCAAAAGCTGCCAATCTTAGTTGCTGCCTTAACACTGTGCCTCAAAATCTCATTCGGCAAGCGCGGGCACCTTATGAAGCAGCGTGGAGCCTTCCCAATTTCTACACGCTTTCCCAGTCCATCTTTGTCGGCGCAAGGCTTTGATTGTTCTGCTAGAAAGACGCGAATTATCTTTTCTAATCAGAGCAGGGAAGTAGACGCCGTTCTCGTTTCGACGGCCCTACTGTTTCTTGCAGGCTAGGTTTTGATCTTTGAAGGCTGTTCGCAAGAGACGGGCCGGGACGGATAAGACTGGTCAACAGGGAGGTCAGAGACCAGCGCCCTCGGTGCCGGTGACGGCTGGATTGCAGCCGGGAAAATGTCCGGAGGAATCGTCTTGACGGTGATGATGGGTAAGACGCTTTTCTTTTGCTCTTTAGCTGCAAGGAACGGGAAGGTGGAGCCTTGACTCCGTGTGACGGTGCTTAGGTACGGAAGGACGAAGCCCTAAAGCAGAACAGAAGTCGGTGGGTTGTCTTGGATGAGGCCGGAGTTTGGTGTCAATCCGCAGAGATTTCATCGTCATTCTTCCTAGTGTAGGATGCTCGCGCGTCGGAAAAAGAGTGTTGTCCTTTCTGCCGTATGCATCTCTCCGCCTGAAAGCCGGGTGGATTAAGCAGTCAAGTGTTCCTGTCCGTGAGTGACTCCAGTTGTCAGATCCTTTTGTTCTTCGTCTATCCATAAAACTACGGGACCCTCGGCCGCAGTGAACTGACGTCGTCTTCAATAAGAGCAGCCCATAGCTCGGCTTTCTGCAACACGAGCTGGGCGGAAAAGGATTATACGATCAAAAACGATGGTGTCAATCACAACGTTTTGGCTATATCTATCCTTTACGGCCTACGTTTTTAGGGTATCATTTTGGAACTTCCATTCAGAAATCCATCCTATTCAATGGTTTCAGAAAAGGACTGGATTGAACACGTCAAGACGTCTGTCTGTCGAGAAATATCTCTAAGAAGCTTCTCGAAAACCTTTTGGAGGCCTCCGCGGAGCACCGCGGCGACAGGTTGCCCTTTAAGCACTTTGGACCGTTAGCAAGAAAGTGCCTAAGAAGTTGCTTATTGCTGTCATTCCCTTACTTTGCGTGCAGGCCCTGGGGGCAGTAGGGGTCCGCCCCAAAGCCGGCCGTGTTGGGCCCTATCCCTGTGTTTACGATGAACGCGTTGTGGGCGATGCGGTGGGCCCTTTTGAAGCGGAGCTGGCCGAGGGAGGCGTCGGCCAGAGTGCCTGAGTGCCTTCAGGCCCGACGCGGAAGCGCAGATGTGAGCAAGCAGAAGATGTTTCTTGACAGTGCCCTCTTTCATTTGTTGCGCGGGCTAAGAGCCGTTGAGAAGCCAAAATAATGAAACTCCGTGACGTCTGATTAACATTGGGTGCGTTCGAGGAGATACGGGCATCTGCCAAATCTGAAAGTCCTGTTTACATGTTCCTTCTGGTTGTATTACCAGCTTGATTTGCCGACCCCGTGCATCAGCGCTGACTCTATCATGTGTAGAAGATGCGAAGAAGGAAAAAGGATATTCCAACTGCAAATCCCTCCCACTCAGAGTTCCAGCTTCTGTCCACTTTTGCTTCCGGCAGAGTCAGCAAACATGGCTGCAGAATCGTTCTGTGGGGCTTGCTGACGGTCTTGATGACGTCAACGACAACGGTCCAATTTCTTGACAGGCGCCACATTCTATCATGCCCTCAGGACTACTTTCAAACTTCCAAATGTATTCTTTTGGTTTCGTCTTCTGTCTTTCGGGCAAAGTTCTCAGGACCCTGGGGAACACGCCATTTGGGAGACGGCTTGGCACTACCCTTCCCCGACACGCATTTCAGCGCGCTTTTCTTTCCCAGGTTTAGGACGAGCGCAATGCCTAACACAGGCCGTCCTCTAGTTGTATCTGCCCCCGTTTGACTTTCTTCACTTCGTTTAGAGCATTTACTGGAAGACAATTGGTACAATATGACCCTCCGCTTGTTTCCCTCCTGTCAGGCACTCCATGCGAGCGGTAGGACATCCATGTCCAAGACGGTCCAATTGAAGGGCGACGAGCTCCTTAGTCTGGGGGATCCCTCGTGCTGACGTGGCAGCTTCTGGATTAGCGCGCTGCCAAGACAATTGTCCGCCGCGCATCAAGGTACTGGGACGGCCGGTCACTGCCTCGGAACAAATCGGGCCACTGTCACAAGACAGGTTCCGGTGGGCTGTGGGCGGAATCCGCTCAGAAGTTGGATCTGTTGGACGGATCTGCGGCCACGGCGACGAGCAAGGGGCTCAACGCTCACCAGGTGAGACGCCTTGTCCAGCTAAGGCATGGCGAAGCCTGATGATGTGTTCGTTTGCAGAGAGTCTCATCGTCAGCGGATCAAATGCCGCCCATGTGCAGGAAAGGAACTCTTAGTTGTTGGTATGTTAACTGCTTTCAGTGGCGAGGAGCAGCGCCCTTTCGGTCTGGAGCAATAATCCGTGTTGTAGGAGGCAATCTGGGAAGAGTCTCTGCCTTGACCTTTGAGTTCTGAGCTTCATTCCGGGGATGGCGAAAGACCGAAAGACTTCTTCCGGTCGTGCAAAGACATTCTGTTTGACGGCTTGTGACTCAATCTCGTCCCAATCACTGTTCTGTAGCAGTCGTAGACTCCGAACCATCTGCCCCGGCTTAGTAGTGTTTCAATCGTGTCGGATGTGGCCTTTCTTCGTCGAAATGAGTTGCGTACTTAGGAGCCACTGGCTACTGCCGACTCAAAAATCCTTTCCGCCTCACGCGATGACATGACCTTCGTTGCTCCGTACATGCGAGAAACAAGACTTCTGGAAGACAGCAGTCCCGGCGCTTTCAAGGTCCGCATGCGAATCTCTTTTCAACAGGCTCGTGACTGTTTTTGGGGCACCCTCATTCGGTGACAGGCTGCTCATCAAGCGCTTTGAACCGTCAGCAAGAAAGTGCGTTGGGATTTGCTCCTTGCTGACATCCCCTCACTCCGCTTGCAGGCCCTAAGAGCAGTAGGGGTCCGCTCCAAAGACGGTCCTGTTGGGCCTTATCCCTCCGTATACGGTGAATGAATGGCGGGCGCTGCGGTGGGGCTTATCGAAGCGGAGCTGACTCAGGGGAGGCCTCGGCCAGAGTGCCTTCAGGCCCGACGCGGAGCGCAGATGTGAGCTCTGCAAAAGATTTTGTTTGACAGTGATCCTGCTCTTGAGTGTTGCACGAGCTAAGAGCCGTTTAGGAGCACCAAGATTGAAACGTCCTTAACATTTGTTGACATTGGGGCCGTTCAGGAATTTTGGGAATCTGCCAGATCTGAAGTCATGACCTAAGGATATCTTTTTGGTTGTGCTACCAGCTTGGCTTGCCTCTTCCGTGCATCAGTGCTGACGTGACAGTTGAAAGGGAATTAGACAAAGATAAGGCGGTTTCCCGTTGCACGTACGCTTCCGCATTGAAGATCCAGCTACTTCGAATTCCGCTTTCGGCAAAGCTTGCTGCATAACTCAATATGTGGCCCTTACTGACCAGTATGATGACGTCAACTGACGGCGGGCTATCCTCTGGTGGGGCGCAACAGTCTATCTTGCTCATCAGATTGCTCGTGACGTCCAATTGTCTTCCTCTGGACTTTGCCTCTTGTATCCTCCGGCCAGAGTTCTCGGGATCTAGAGAACACGCCAATATAAATGACGGCCTAAAACTCCCCTTCCCCGACGCTCTTGAGCGCGTATTTTCTTCCAGATTGATGGCGAGCGCAATGCCAAAAACAGGTTGTCCTCAAACTGAATCTGGGCCGTTGGATTGTCTACGTTTTGAGAGCACTTCCGTGTCGCAACTGGTTTAACCCTTCCGCTCGTCTCTCTCCTCTCAGGCACTCCCCGCGAAAGCAGGACGTCCATGTCCAAGACGGCCCAGCCAAAGCGCAAGGAGCTCCTTAATCTGGGGATCCCTCGAGTCGACGTGGCACCTTCCGGCTCAGCGCGCTGCCGGGACACGTACCCGACCGCCCATCAGCTAACCGGAGCGGACGGCCGCTGCCTCGGGACCGTTTCCGGCCACTGTCACGAGACGGAGTCCGCTCGGCTGTGGGCGGAATTGAGAGAAAAGTGGGGGCTATTCGACGGATCTTATCTGCCGTTACGGCGACGAGCAAGGGCGGATCTAGGGGCTCGCCGCTTACCAGGTGCGATGCTTCGTCCAGCTAAGGCATGGTGAAGCCTGATGGTTTGTTTGTTTGCAAGAAGTCTCAATATCAGCGGATCTAATGCGCCCAGTGGTCGTAAAAAGTACTGAGTCTTAGATGTCTCTGACTGCTTTCAATTGGCGAGGAGCAGAGCCTTTTTGAGTTGAGCGATGTCCGTTTTGTATTGAGGGATATGAAAAGAGTCTTTGCTTTGACCTTTGGAATTCTGAGCTTCATTCAGGGAATCACATAAGGCCAAAAGACTCCTCTGATCGTTCCCTGCGACGACTTTTCAACTGGCAGCTTGTGTATCTTCACCTCATCGGTGTTCTGCAGGAGCCGCGAATCCGAGGTATCTGCCCCAAATGTTGTAGTGTTCAAGTACTGGGTTTGGCTTCTGTTTGTCCGATTGCGGCGCTGATTTGGGAGTCACAGCCCCCTTCGACATTCCTTTACGTCGTGTCGCGATGACAGGGACCGCCGATGCTCTGTACAGAAAACAAGACATCTGAAATAGGCGCAGTCCCGGCGCCTCCAAGCACCGCATGCGATTTTCTTTTTCCAAAAAGCTTGAGACCATCTTTAAGGCTGCGCACCTTCGTTACGGCCTTATGACATTCCTGGGCACCGAACATGACGTCCGGATGAACTAAGCCTCTCCTCGCTCTGTCTGCCTTTTTGCGCTTGCAGCTAAGTACAGCCTTGTTGACTCTACGGACGGATCCAACCATACGTAAGGGTAACACAGCGCCGTAGTGTCTTACCCTTACGTAACACACTAAGGGTAACACAGTATCGTTCTTGACAGGTCCGCACGCGGAGCCGACGCCTGGATTGCGCACTTCCAGCGCCGCATCTCTGGTCGCTCTACTTTCCGAGGCGCGAGCCGCGGCCCGCCTGCGCAAGCGACGCCCGCGCGTGGGTACCCTCCACCGCGGTACAGCGCCGTGCGGCCTCTTGAGATGCGCCGTTGGGAGATGAGTGACTAAGCTTAAGTGAGCAAACACCTGGAAACCCGAAAACTCGAAAACCCAAAAACCCTGGGGAACCCTCCTGTGCCAGCGTCGCATAGCTGCTGCGACTTGGTGTGGACCGCTCTCGTACGTATTCAGTCTACGAGCGCGGTAGAACACCCAGGCGCGGCTCCTGGCGAAGCGCTCTTGGAAAGTCGGGTTTGACAGGCCACGCGGGCGGCTTCACGGTGGGTACGTGTCTTTAGGCGGTGGTGCGTCTTTACAGGACGGTCGGAGAAAGGGCTCGGATGGGCGGGGCAAGTAGAGTGCGCGCGCCGATGCGCCCGCGCCCAAATGCCCGTTCGTTGACGGGTCAAGGGAACCTGGAGGCGGCGGGGCGGCAAACGGAAGAAGACAGAGGCAGGCGGATTTGTTGCACCGGGCAAGGAAGAGAAAGTGCAGGGCTTCGGATCAGGGCCTGGGGGAACGGCGAGGGCTGTACCGGCCTCCAAAGGCCGCCCGGAAGAGTGACCCGGGCGCTGAGGGCCGGCTCCGGAATCGGAGGGGTGGCGCCGGATCCGTCATTAGACGGTGCGGAATCCAGGTGAGAGAAACATTGTCAGCCTTTTGAAGGTGCCCGGAAGAGAACTTGGCAGCGGCGACTTGAGAAGCAGAGCGCCAAACTTTACTGTCGCCTCCCGAGAACTCAAGACACCCTTCTAGGTCGACCAGTAAGTTTGAGAAAGGTCGAGCAGCGAGCTTTGAAAGCTAACAGCTTGGAGTTGTGTCCCTTAAAGTGTTCCTGACTGCACTTGGGGTTGAGTACCGTATGCTAGACTCTTGCTGTTCTTTGGAGATTTTCCGCCTCGTTTGACGCATACGTGGAGTCGTTGCATAGGTTGCTGAAGCCTTAATCTCCTTGTGACTTGCGGACAAGGTTACGTGTGTCAGGTGGCCTCTGTGAATTGCCGCTCGAAGCATACTGCTACCGATTCAAGAAGTGACATGAAAGGAAGATTCATTACGTTACAAGTTTTGTGTGCACTCTGTTTCACCCCTTTCAGAATGCGCAGCGTGTAGGACACGCCATGCAGTCTGAAAACGCCCCACAACAGGTATTCAGTAGAGGGCTGAAGCACCCAAATAGTTTCTACGCGGCGGTAAGCGGGGCGAGACAACTTTCATCATCCGACGTTGTTCCCTCCGATCTCCCACAGGTCCAGATGATTGACGGCGCGGCCGCTGACGACCAGAGCTTACCTGCGGCGCTATCGCCAATGAAGCTCCTCGACACAGGCGGCCAGGCTCCCGGAAGGATCGTTGCGGCCAGTATAACGGCCAAACATGACAGGACACGTGTTGAGGCTCGTAAATTCCTAGCTAGGGTAGACTTTGCGCATCAGGGGTGCATCCATTAGCCGCTCGGAAATTCTTGGTCCAGGTAGGCGGGCAAGCCGCCCCCAATCCATAATTGGTCTATGCTCGCAAACATAGCATTTTGCACGGAGTACATGAGTCTTCCGCAGACCGCATGGCAGTTGGCCGCGTAAACTTGAAAGGCGCTTCAAGTTGCAAGGCGTTTTCTTTGAGTACCGCCATATGCACCGGCGCTGCAGCCACGTACCACATGCAAACCGGACCATATTTAGTGATCATTGGGTGAGTCCTGTCACTTGGGACCACGTCTGCTAATATCTTAGCCTGGACATTATACGTATTTCAGCGTCTTGTCTGTTGCCAGTTAATTGCCCAGTTGCTATATGAGAGAGTCGGATGCATGACGGCGCGGCCTGTCTAACAATCAAAGTACGGTTCCATCACAAAAGTCCTGCTGCATGCATGGTGTTCGAAGTTTAAGTTGCGCGCCGCCATCGCGCGGGGGCGGCAAAAAATACGTACCCGACAAAGAGTTACATGCAAGACCGACGGCTGTCTCGAATCCAGACGGGACGCGTACCGTCGTCCATGTATGTCACTATGATCGGTCATCCGATCAACATCCAGGTAGTGCAAGGACCATTCAATCATACTAAACGATCGAACGTGTACTCCTTGCATCATGACTGGGCTCCCGTTGCCGGCCGCCCCGGCCCGTCTTATATACAAGCACATTCTAACGTATACCGCATCCGAGTCATATCGAGGAGTTCTGGTGATGCCGGCCATCGTTCTAGCTATATCTAGCCAGATCATTCCCGAGATCCGGCTTTTACCAAAGTACGTACGTGCCAGTGGTCAGCCGCCGCGGCACCGTCCGTTGACCAATTGTACGTGTTTTTTGCAGTGCAAGGTCACTTTTACTAAGTCAAGCTAGTGTGCTGATCATGAGCTACTACACCGTCTAAGACACGCTTGGTCGCGAGGACGCAGTGACAGCCGCCGGCGCCCGGCCCTGTGCCGCGATCGACGTTCATTTTCATGCATTTTGGGTCGTTGTGGATCTGCGGATTTATATATATGTCTTTGATCGGACCGTTGCATGAGATTGTTCCGTTGGATTCGGCCAATTGGCGGCTGACCGGTCGTGCCGGTCTTGAAACATGCTGGTCATGCATCCTTTTTGAACCTTGGAACAAAGGGGCGTTGGGCTGAAAGACTGAGCAGAAGAGTTGGGCGAACGGTTAACTGATGTTGAGCCGGGCCAGCTCAATCAGCTCGCGTCTAAGAGGCCGACGTACTGAAAAGGCTGTTCAGTTTGTGCAATTAATGAGGGTGGGTGGGTGGGTAAGAACGAACGTTTAGCAGGCGGCGCTCGACCAGCATCTCAAAAGTCTACCAGGTCTATCTGGGCGACCTTCCGGAAAGAAGCAGCAACACGTCGTTTCTGCTTCGTTCACTGAAGCTGAAGGTCTGCGAAAGTCAACCGCTGCACGATGGGTATCGATCAATTCAGGAGAATCAGAAAGCAGTCCGTTACCTAAAAGAATGGCAGAATGGCAAACTGCTCCTTTCACTCCTTGGGTTCAATGAAGTTGAAGCAAAATGACAGGCGAGCCAGTCAGTCTCGTCTTACAAGCTTTTGTTGTCGGCCTGAGGAGCAAACAGTTCTCCAGATTGACATATTCGGCGCGTGATCCTCAGCGCTACGGAGCCCAGACGTACGACGGGACCGTTCTGGCATTGCTCGTGGCAAAAAGGCTGAGGACGTCATCGCCGTCCGCCTATCCAACCACGAAGCAAAAATGACAGGGCACGATCAGCAGCTCCGTGCCTAGGTTTCATGCTGGCCAGATTCAGCTGGCGCGGGGCCGGCGGCGTCCACCTACTTTGATAACTTCACTAGCACGTAGAGATACGTACAGCTTGGTAAACACCGCCGTCAAAGTTGACAGTTTTAAGGTCCACGTGAGAAGCTAACGGGAGGTCAGCATGTTGATGCCAGCTGAATCCAAGAAGGTAATGCTTGATCACAAAGACACGTTGCGTGACATCGGAATGTCCCTTGTTGTCTCATTATCAGACGCCCCGTCTTGATTAGGAACTTTGAAACGGAACTCAAAATTCAAAGCTCAGCTGAACGGCGCAGGCCGCTTCGGTCGGCCGAATATCCAGGGGCCGGGCTGACGAACGTCCCTCAGACTGACGGCCATATAGGAACCACGATCAAGCTGAGAAAAATCCAAGGATCAAGGTCAATTCCTCTCGTTTGATTTTAAGTTTTACGAGCTCGTCGGCTTGACTGACTCAGCTTTGTGAATCCTCTTCGTCGATCGCTTTTCGAGGACGCTGCTTTCTTTTGGAGTCACGGTTATCTACAGTTTTGAAATCCATTGAGAGATGGGTTTGATGGCAAAAGGAGCGCTGACGATTGGGCAGTGAGGTCACGACTCTCTGAATACTCGTTGATCAACCTGAATCGTCCACAATCAGTGCCAAAGGTTTTCAGAAGAGATACTAGACATTAGCAGAGGGGCCTGCGGATATTCTGCGGATGGTAAAGAGGTCTCCGGATGAAGGTTCTTCAAGGCCCCAAACCCGCAGTGAGAGAATCGTTTCTGGAATCTCAGTTAATTTGAGATGGAGGAAAATCTCCTCACTGATCTGAGGACTATACTTTTCTCCCTTGAATCCGACGTCCTGCAAGTTGCTCGACTGGCTCGAGGCAGCAAGAAGCCATGATCTTGAGAAGGCCAAAAGGCTACCGTGGTGAATCTTGTACGAGGTTCTCTCGTTGGGCTCAGACGTATAATATGTGTAGCCGTTATAGTCTGCTCAAGCTCAAGCCTTCAATCATGCTTCCCAACTGGTGATAACGATAAAGTATATCTGGATCTCTCCTCAATGTAGGTCACTGACTCGGATTAGCTCCACAGCCACTCATATTGTATGTTGATGACTTGATGCAGACTTGCAAGACGAGTTGAGAGCTCGAGTCATATGAGCTGCGAGGATTTCCCATCTTATGAATTCTACTCACTGCCCACCTGGCACCCCGTTTACAGCTGAGTCGCTAGGAGCAGATTATCAGCTGACTGCTAACAACCCGCTAACAAGCAAGGGCAGTTAGACTGGCAGTTATGCAGCCTGTGCAAAGAGTACGAGCTGCTAGCTTAATGAATCCTGCACCTTGACATGCAGCTCATGTCTGATCACTGGGGTACTAGGTGATCACTAAAGCCAAAGTAGCTCAGCTAGCGCAAGTTGCAGCTGCTTCACTATTTGCAGGTGCCAAGCAAAGAAGCTTTTCATAGGAAGGCTAGCTGTGGTATTGGACGCAAGGGGCGCACCAGCTTCGAAATCCACAGCCGCTTTGACGATGACATCACATGCAGGCTGTCGTCAGGCTGGCTGCGTCACCTATCATGCTTACTAAACATTGAACTCGGACATTATTGGACAACAGAACGGCAGAGGTTACGGAACCTGGAGTCAAGCGGCCTACCCGCGGCCTCATCCACCCAGCAGATCAACTGTTATCAGGATCAGTACTGACCGTCAATTGTCGAACCAACTTCCTGGAACTTGGCAACTGTTGGCATTCGCACCGCTCATGTTGTCAGTTGATGACTACCATACCTAGCTAGTGAGCTTGGAACCTCAGTGCATTGTGCAGTTCTTGTGCAGTATGAAAGATCAGGGGGCCCGGTCTGGCAGATCAAGCTGGAGAACTTGAGAGTCAGGAATGATATCATACATTGTACGTACAGCACTAGGTAATTCCGGAAAAAAACTTATGCTGCATGGCGTTACTGTTATTCACCTGAAGCACGTGATTGCTGACGCTACCTGACGGCAAAAAGTGACAAAAAGCGCTGCAGTTCGCAATGATTGGACGGCACTTCCCAAGTTGTGCGCAATCACGCGTGGCCAGGTGTCAACTTGTGATCGAGTTGCGGGTAACTCAGGCGTGGCCGCGTGCAACAAACGAAACAGCCCGATGTAGGGGGACCCTGGTTGCTGCTCCCGAACCCTGGCTGTGTTTGCACGACGGTTAATGATATTAGGATAGACGGTTCAAGGACCGGTTCCTGTTTCCAGAATTTTGGGTTAGACCTCGGGCGTTGGAACCAAGATACTCGATGGACGGGGGAAGAGCCCCGGCGGTATTAGTCTACACCGGATCATCGATTGGATAACCTCGCTCTTCCAGGTTCTTCAATTGGATTCAATCGCAGGAACAGACAAGATGCATGACACTGCACCTCCGTATGTTGCCGTTCTGAACTTTCGTTTGTGTCAAGCACTGTGGTGACCACTTGCAGGCAAGAAGCCGGAGGAAAGACGGAGGCATGACGTTGAACGGCGCTGGCAGGACAGACTGGCTGCCTTGTCCAGAAGGCAAATGCCGGGGAGCACCTGAGCCTGAGGCTGCACGTCCTGCTCGCTAGTCCTGGACCTGTCCAGCCAGACTGCCGATGTGCATGTGGTGGAAACGGTGGAGCTAGCGTTGGAGAAGCTTTTGTTTGGAACTTCGGAAGAGGAGCTATCGTTCAAAAGGGCTTGCAAGTGTGCCGGGACGCTTAGCGCTCGTGCAGTCATCCGGATGCCTTTCCCACTCGGATGCTCCTAGACACCTAAGAGGCTTTAGTGAGACGAAGTTTGTTTCTAGCAGTTTGAATGGGCGTCAGACGCATGTTAACCTTTGACATCTGCTGAAATAGTTGAGAGAATACTTTAGCTCATATGTGTTAGCTAATATTTTTAGCTGAACAAATCGCTAAGCAGGGAAACTCAAGAGAAAACGCCGTGTATATACAGCTGTATCCTGTCTGTTGCCAACGTGCACAAGTGCAGACGCGGTTGACTTAGGGGCGCTTGAGAAGCTTGCGTCTGGTAGCAGCGCTGGTCCCCGCATCATAACAAATCTGATTGCAAGGAGGCTGACGTGAGTGGCCTATGTTTGCAAGAGAACGGTTGAAGACCGGGGGAACTCGACGAAAGCATACATACCTTCAGGCCCCGTGCTTGCAACGCGTCTTGGACTGGGAGTTAGTCAGGCAATGTGAGCTTTAGCAGAGAACTGATGGAACTCTCATGCCCTGAGGTCTTGTTTGATCCTGGTAACTGTAGAAGAGGTGCAAACCCTTGTGGTCTGGAACGAGGCGGTTGACAATGGAAGCCTCATGTCAATGCTAGGAAACCTGAAACGCTTGTTCTGGTATAATGCAGCGCTGAAGGTTGACATCTACTATTTTATAGCCTTTCCTTGTGGAAGTCAGTCTTGATTACTTCCGAGAGATTTCCGTGTTGAGACCAGCGGAAAGTATTTTGGGATTGATAAATATGGTCGTTTTGCTCCCCAAGCTTGGTGAGAGTCGACTTAGGCTCCTTTCTTCTGCCCACATTGACCGACTGAAGATAAGGCTCTACGGTGCAGAGTATGAAGTTTTTTGTGGGGGCGTGGTTCAGAGCTACATCTGATTTCAATGTGGCTGTCATGCTGCTAGATTGTGACTGCTTGAAATGTTTTCAAATTGGTATGGTATGAACTACTTGATGGCTTGAAAATGTGACATATTCCTGCGTTGACTCCTCTTCTTTTCTTGAAAAATGGTGTTTTCCCAGCCATCTGTTTGGGCATAGCCACCAGTATTTCACCCATGAAGCTTGTTGGTAGGGTGTGAACTTTGTTATAAAAGCTCAGTCTTGTCTCCTGCTTGGGTCAGCCAAAATCAAAATAGGTGTGCTGAGAGGCATACTTTACCTCTCAACCGCCAGCCAGCAAGCCAGGGACAAAGGCATCAAACTCTTCGAATGCTTTTTGAACCGGCTAGGCAAACAACTTGATAGCGTATGAGCTTGTGGAACAACTTCAATGTCAAAACGTGGGTACAAAAGCTGCTAAAAATCCCCTTGTGACCATATCAGTGGGGTAGCCTTTTGACATTTCACTTCAGAGTTAGATGCTCGAACTTACGACTGGCGTTCTTTCTCTTTCCAGGTTTTGGTAAGCAAAGATGTGCATTCAAAGTTGGCATGTGAGAACTCGCTGAGTCGCTGGGCCTGGCGCCAGGCAAAGTTACACGAAGCTTGGTCAGCATGGCTTCTCAAAGAATGAAACAGGTGAGGCTTGTTTGGCGATAGAGATGAAAACTGGAATGGTCCTACTTGCCGAAACAGTCAAGCGGAGTTTGCTGGCGAGGGTGGTGTGGTGTCACAATACCGCAACACTGGGGCACAGACTGGGAAAAGTATTGTATCTAACACTTGGTTTCCATGATGAATTAGGCGTTCCTGCTGTTCAGCTCCATTTGCGTGTAAACCCTGAACGTTCACCTACTTATAATCATCGCAGTCAACTTTCCCTCGGAACTTCCTGGTGTTCCTGTCAGAAATTTTGGCACCGGTACTGAAGCATCGGCCTCGCTTCTGTGCGAATAGCAGTTGCCTTAATCACCCGGCAGATTCAGTCGGGAAGCAGCCTCCAATGTAGCCCCTTCAGTCCACCCCACTCTTCGTCATGGACATTTGTGGTCGGCTCAAATGCTGCTTCGCTTATCGCAGGTCCTGTTCTACTGTTTGCTCGCCCTGTTTGGTTTCGGCACCAGCCTCAGCTGCAAGCCAGGCGATACACGGTGCGGGGGCGCCAGCTTGCAGCCACTGCTGGCGGTTGGTCTAGAGAAAGTGGCGACACATCTCCAGGTGTCGGCTCAAGTTGCCCGCTCGGTGGCGGAGACAATACCCACACTGAGTGTGCCGGGAGAGGGCAGCGGCGCAGCAAGTGGAGGGAAGGATGAGCAAGTAAGACATCCTACTACATAGCTATGAGACTTCATGCCAGTTCCACGCTCCTCCTGCTAGGGGGCATCTTTATGGTATTCTATGCTTATTGAACCTGGCGTAACTTCTCATCTCCTTTGCACGCTTTTGAAAATCTGCTTCTCTGCTTCTAAACTTGAGCCTGGCATTGAAGCCGCGTTCCCAACGGAACTCTCAATGTGTAGCCATACCAGCTCGCGGAGCAGACATGAAGTGGTTCTGTTGTTGTTCCATCATTTCATGCAGGCATTTCTGATTCTATGCTTGGCAGTCCCCAATGCTTTGCTCTTCTTTATCCATCTTCCCTCCAATCCTCCTACGTGTCAAGCCTCCCAGTGTACTTCCACTCTCTTCCAGTCTTCCACATTTCTCAAAGTTTCTGCTTTTGCCGCACTGTACCTTTACGACATTTTCCTTGGGCTAATTAACGCCCCTCCCCGCTTGATTACAGCTTGCCACTCTGCTCCACCTCGCCTACTCGGTGTGCCGCCCCTGGTGCGCCGGCATCGCCGTCCTCGTAGACCACTCCGCCATCCCTCAGTGGGCGGGAAACTGGTCCCCGCTCTTACAAAAGCGCGCTGAGGGATACCTTCGCTATGGTAATAAACATGCGCAGGCAAAGCCGGAGTGGCAACTTCTTCCTGGGGGGGAGACTGGGGCTCTCTTTGTGGTGCCCCTTTCCGGGGGCGGGGTGGTTGCAGTGGCGGTGGATCTGGAGAGCATGGAGGCGGGGCTGGAGGAACTAGACTGGCGAGGGGGAAGCTTCGTTGTGGCGGATGCGGAAGGGAAGATCTTTGCAGCCGTACATACACGTGAGCCGCGCAGTATGCCGAGAGGTGCATTAGGCCTCCATGATGTGCTGTTCTACTTGTGTCCAGATGTGTCTAGAGGACTTTCCCCAACTTACAAGCCTCCAAGCCTTGTCAGCATACAAGCATTTATAAGGTTCCAGGATCCACTAAGCCCATACGCAAAGCATGTCCCTTCTGAGGGGCAATTTCTCAACATGGAGGACAGCTTGCGCCCTCGCAAAAGTCAAGGCGCCGCCTGCAGAGCGGATGTGTGTTGCTGTTAGTGGATCGTCTGCAGTCCTTTTTGCTCTTGGCAGAAGACCCATAGCTTCTTCTTAGAATCCTTTTTTAAGGCACCCCCACATCCCTAAAATGTTCGCTTGAGCACTATCCCTCTGTGCAAGTTGCATTCAAGCAAGTCCCTCAAAACGCAGGCCCGGTGATGAACGACCCGGAGGGTGTTGCGGAGGCGGTGCAGGCTTGCGTGTCGCATGGCTCTCAGCAGTCCATGGTCGTCCGGCTGGCCGATGGGGACCACGTGGTGGCCAGCGACAGGCGCACCATGCAACAGCTGCAGCTGCACGGGGTGAGCCGTCTTGCGCTTCTTCCACGCCCTGCGCCTTCTCTGCCCAGACACTCGCCAGCAGAACCCTGAATTCCAGAGCACGGAAACACCTGAATGTGAGATTCGAAGCTAATACAGGTTTATAGGGGGTTATATGGGCCACTGCTGTAGGAGACACCGGGCGATTGACTAAGCAACAGGTGCAGCTGGTTTGGGCCGTCTCTCTTGCGAGTAGGCTTGAGGCGACCAGGTTCTACCTGTCTTTTGAAGGGTCTGTGTTTTAAGAAGCTGAGGGGAACAATGAGCCATTCGTAGCGAAACGAGCGGCTGGGCAGGGGGTGAAGAGTCGTGTCACAAGAGCTGACCTATCGAGAGTTAGCCGATGCAGTCCGCCTTTCTAGTTGTTTGGGCGACCACCGGGTATCCACCGATGCGCGTTGCAAGTCACACAAGAGCTTCGGTTGATGTATTGAACTCCCTATCTATCCATTTACCAATCTGCACATCTTATAGTCTGTCCGCTCAAAAGGGGGCGCACGGGAGACAGCACACCGCCTGACTGGAGCTTCTCTTCCCCCCGTCAGGTCCTTATTATGCCCTGGGACGGCCCCCCGCCCTCTGCCGCGGAGTCGTCACTTTCCCCAGGGGCCCTGGCGCTGCGCGTCGTGGGGCTTCTGGCAGCTCTGGGGGTCACTGGGTGGTTACTTTGGCTGCTGCACCGGTGCGGGTCGGAGGACGCCCTTATAACGGAGATGCAGGGACACCTGGACGACAAGAAGCGGGCGGAGGCGGCCAACTCCGCAAAGTCCATGTTCCTGGCAAACATGAGGTGAGTTGCACGATTCCCCTGGTTCAGGAGTCGAGGGTCTGCACGAGTTGCAGCTTATGTAGGATGACTGATCTTTCTTTCCAGGAAGCGGTCACGCGGAAGTTCTGATCTGGTGGCTGCCAATCACATCATAGTTAAGAGATTTTGCAGTCATGAGCTGCCTTTGAAGGGAATGTGCAGTGCTCAGCAAGTGGATTTAGATGAAGGTCTCTTCTTGAGAAAAATATGAGCAGACCGCGTGAGCCCTGGTAGATCGAGGGAAGAAAACCAGCGAGTATGAAGCAGCCTTGAATGCACTTGATTGCCTTTCACCAACCGCATCAGTTTCTTTTTAAATGCTGGGCAAGTGAACGGGTTTCCCGCCCGCTGGAGCCCCAACAAGGCCGAAGATCGTGGCTGAATCTCTGCTTCTGTGTGCTGACTCTCGTCCTTTGTCGGCTGTGCAGTCACGAGCTGCGCACGCCCATGGCAGCAATCCTGCTGGGGCTCGGTGAGTCGTTTGGCTCCGCCAGCGTGGTCTTTTCGTTTCAGCCAGTCCGACCCCGGTTTCTTTCTGCTAAACGGAGTCATTCTTAGTTTCACTCTTGGATGCAGACTTTCTACTTTGTTGCCGGTCGCTCACTTTTGGACCACAGACTTACGCTTGCTGCGAAAGATTTGAACCGAGATTAGGAGTCAGGTCTACCCTGCTTTTCGTTCGGCGTCAATGCCGGTTTCTGCGCTGGTTACCATCCTTTTCTTCGAGGTTATCTATGAGCTAGACATGAGACTCCAAAAGATTTCTGAAGGCTATCTATGAGACGGAGTATTGGACACCGGGATCTGCGTTCAGGGCCTTACTTTGACGTGTGCAGCAGGACCAACTGTGTTGGGGACTCGATCTGATCCTTTCCGGGTGAAGGAGAATCAATTCGATATTTGGCGGCCCCACGTGTCAACCACCCGGAGGATTCCAGTGATCTCCTGGAGCAAAGAACCGATTGCAAATGGGTTACTATCTGCCTCTTGACGTATCACTAAGTATTGATCACACATTGCAGACCTGGTGCTGGAGGCTGACTCGCTAAGCAAGGAGCAGGAGAGCAGCCTGCTGCAGGTGAAGCACTGCGCGTCGGAGCTGCTCACGCTGCTCAACGACATCCTGGACCTCGGCAAGGTAAGGCCGGTTCGCGCAAGTTTGTGCATCTGACAGTTTCCGGAGCATCGAGTCTGCCTTTCGGAAGCTTGTGAGTATGCCTGATGAAGCCCTGAGACCAGCGTCGTGAGGGTTTATAAGTGTACCTCGCTAAAAAAGCCAAGAAACCCCCATTTGGTATAATCGAATCTATTCACATTTGCCAAGCCGTTTCGCACGAGGTCTTTCCTTGCGCAATCAACCTCTCGCTTTTTCGTCCAACTTCTCAAGTCGAGGCTCTATTTGCAGAGCGTGTAGCCCGTACATCCTTTCTGTCAAGAGTGCGTTTGCTTACGATCTTTCCTGCCCTTCTGCTCATGCAAAGCTCACGTTCCCTGTGCGCAGATCGAGTCGGGCAAGTTCCGACTAGAGGCGGTAGACTTCGACCTGGCGCACGAGATCCAGAGTGTGGTCGACATGTTCGGCATCCAGTGCGCCGGCAAGGGCATCATCATCGGACTCGAGGTCGCAGGTCAGCCATTGCCTCCATCTCTGCCGTGTTAATCCCTGATTTGTTCGTTCCATTTTCTTTGTGGCCGAAACGCAGTCCTTTTGTGTCAGCTTTCTCACTCTCGAAAACTGTCTCTCGCATCCCTTCTTCCGATTCACGTCTGCAATTGCTGGCTCGAGGTTGCAAGGCAGCCGCACGTGCATCCAATCTCTCAATTGCACTTCTTGGTCGTCTGGGGATTTCTGGATGACCTCGCGACAGGGTATTTGGAAGTAGACTGCAGAAAAAAGGGACACCCGTTTCTGAATCAGTCAAAGGAGAGAAAGCGCCACCTTATGGATGCACTGTGCAGGTTTATAGTTCTTTCCGTCCATCATTTGTGGGAGGAGATAGCAGCAGAACTTTTGGCAGAGGAAGTAGATCAAGTCGGTTACTCTGATGGTCGTTTGGTTGTTCAAGCCGCGCTAGCAAGGGATTGCAACCCGGAGCTTTCTGACAGCCTCAGAGTTCGGTGTAAGAAGGCAGTTCGGTTCGGCATGCAGAATCGAGACCAAGTAAAGTATGCCCTCGCTTGGGTCGAGACAGGGTCGCTGTGTTGGAATTGTTTGGAGCATGTCGTTGTGCTCTTCCGCCACTTTGTCCGGCAGGCATGCGTGTGATGGCTCGTTGGCTGCCACGTGGCCTCTGACCAATTCTCACTTTGCGTTCCGCCCCGTGTCTTCAGATGAGATGGAGCGGATAGTGAACGGAGATCCGCTGCGCTTCCGACAGATCCTGGGAAACCTCATTAGGTACGTCAAGTCCATTGATTGCCGGCGGGTTCCTCAAAACTCGTTCGGAGTTGTCTCCTTGTCTGTAAGTGACACGAGGCAGAACAGCGAAGCGACGGCAGACTTTGTATCAGGTTCGATGGGCGTGAGCTTAGGACGGCAGGAAGTGGCGGGAGGATTTGCAGCTGTCTGCCGAAGAGACTCCGCGTATCTGGGGTCTTGCATGTTAGGGTTTCCCTCAAAGCAGCTAAGACGTTTCTAGCAGACCATGTGCCTAGGCCTCGAGCGTGCACGCTTCGAGCAGACCACAGAAATGGTCGATGAGCTAGCTGATCGCGCTGTGTGTTCTTGACAACTGTCGTGTTCTAGATGCTCGTGTTTACTTCCATATCTACAAGACGACATTCAGATTGCTTGATCTAATGGTTGACATCATTGAACGACTATCACTGTCAAGGACCCCTCCGGCACGCCAAAAGCTCTGAAGCTGATGGCGATCTCATTTCCTGCAGCAACTCCATCAAGTTCACCCCCCCGGGCGGCAGCATCTACGTGAGCGCGCGCCAGAGCGTCCTTTCCTCGGACTCCCCCACGCATCCTCGCTCCCCCGCCCAACCTCCCGCTTCTCCCGACGACACGTCGTGGATGCAGCGCGCTTCGAACTGGCTACAACGGAGGGACTCGGACGTGGCAGAAGCAACCCAGAACGAGGGGATGCTCCGGTTTGAGATCGAGGTGAACGATACGGGATGCGGATTGTCGCCGGAGAATCGTGAGGCGGTGTTTGAGACCTTCACGCAGGCGGATAGCAGCACGACCCGGATGTATGGTGAGTAGCATTCTGGGGGTTTGCATGTTCAGATTTTTGATATGTCAGGACCTTCGACTTTGGATCTTCAGGTTTCGGACGGAAAGCGCAAGGCGGCGTTTGAGAGGGCCATCGGATCAGCTGGATCATGCAGCTTCTTGCACGTGCGTCTGCAATATGGACTTCGCTTCGGGCCTTTTATAGGCGTGAAGATTGCAAAGCCGCTTGGAACCTCAGGGAACCAGAGACGTAGTATCCGACTTGCTCCGTCTTAGATCAGGTTCTCAGAGAGTCGCACTCAATTCACGCCGGATGGCCACAAGGTACCAACGTTGTTGCTTTGGTGAAACCTGGGTGCGCTCAGCTTCGCTGTTTTGGTCTCTGCATACCTTTCTTCTCTCCTGGATTCCGGAGCTCCGAGCTTGCTCTGCAACCGTGAGGTTTTGGCCCGGCTTCAGAGAGTCGACCTCAAGCTTGCAATGTTGTCGAAGAAAAGTACTCGAGCGCCGACTTATCGACTCTGCTGTGGGTGTTTGTTGCAGGTGGAACAGGTCTCGGACTGGGAATCACTAGGAAGCTAGGTAGGGCCACACCACTGTTGTCGCTTCGTTCGGACAGACCTTGCTTTCTACCAACTCTGTTTGTACACAAGCTGCAGACGCTTCCGTAAAAGCATGCGTCAGACCTCTTGCTACGACTGAGACATCCTCTGGAATAACCTTGAAAAGTAATCTTGAACGTTCTCTGACTTTGCTTGTGAACGTGCTCCATGCTGCCTAATGCGCTCAGCCGCACTTTTCTGTTTGTATGCCCCCTTGGTTTTCTGGTTCGATTGGTTAAACGAAGGGAACTGCGAGCACTCTATCAAGCGTTAAAGCTAGTCGTTAGAAGCACCGTTGTCGTTGTTCATGGTTATTGCCACCCCTATACTAAAGTTTTCAATTCACCTCAGAAAAATGCGTTGCGCCAACCTTGGCTCTGTCGCGGACTCCTTCTGAAGCCCCTTCTTCTCCAAGCTCCAAGTAGGTTCTGGCCATGCATGGCCATGCGGGTGGCACTCTGCCAAGGTTACAACGTTATTAGCCCCCAAACCCATCCTCGTTTCGACGCCTTCGGAGCTAGCTGCTGACGTTGGGCAAACCTTCGCCCTTTTTCAGACCCATGGATTCACGGTAGTCGCTGAAACAACCCAGTTTATTCAAACCCCGGAATTTACCCTACGTGCAGTAACCATGATGGGCGGCACGATTGGCTTCGTTGACAAGCTGGGCCCCGGCGCGCTCGTCCGCGTCCAGCTCTCCCTCCCCCCCCCCGTCGGTCCAGTTTCCGAGTCCCCCAGTCACGCGCTGCTGCACGCCCCTGTCCCGGAACTGGTGCAAGGCGCGAAGATCATCCTTGCAATGCCCCCCCACCTGAGCCGTCGCCTCGCCGAGAAGTGGCTGCGCGAGCGGCGCTTCGATTACACGCTCTGCAGCTCCGTGGATGAGCTCATGAGCGCCCTTAGCACAGGTAATTACCCTGAACTCCAAGGCTCTTCGTTTCATGCTATGTGATTTTCCGTTTCATAATTTTACCTCCGATCTTGAATGTAAAGGAGGCCTAGCTTTTGAGCGGCGCCTCCGAAAAAGGTGACAGCGGAGCTTTATTGCAGTTTGGCCTACGCTAACTCCACAGCTTATTGCGAAGCTCGGATACTCAGTTGCTATATCGGGATCGTGCCGTACGCCCAAATCTGCTTTCTTAGGGGTCCTTTTCTGCTTGACCTCTGATCCGCTTTGAAGAAAAGTAAGCCCTCTCCTTCACCCAGAAGTCGCGCTTTTTAGGATGCTTCAGAGCATGCAGCCTCTGCTGGTAGTTGTTACTGACTTCCCCTCAGGTACCCTCGTTCCCGGCTTCACTTTTCCCGTCCCCCCAAAAGCAGACGCCGGAACCCCCGTCAGCCCCCTCCACGTCAGCGACCCGTCGGCCCCCCCCAGCCCTGCCACTGCTTCCGACCCCCCCGCCGCCTCGCCGGTACCCCCCGTAGTCATCATCGATTTCGCCATGGTTCAAGCGGCCGCCCTCCAAAACCCCCCCGACCCAAAAGGACTCATCCTCAGTCCTACGACCCACCCCCACGGCGCACGTTCTCCCTTTGCGGGGCCGGCGCGGCCGCTTCTGAGCGTTCCGCCCTTGGGCCTCCCCACAGTGTTCGACGCAGATAGCCCCGATCCGGAACCGGAACCCGTGCTCGGTCCAGTGGAGGTGATCAATGCGATGGCGCGGTTGAAAGCGGACATGGGCGCAAATATCGTGTGGCTGCTCGACCCAAACACCCCCCCTGCTGTGCGTACCAACCTGGTGAAAAGCCGCGGCTTTGCGCTGCTGGTCTTACGGCCGCTGCATGCGGGGCGACTCTCCGAAATCATGCGCAAGGTAGGTCTTGAGAGAGTGCATTGGAAAAAACACTCGTCAATTCAAGGAACAAAAGCATTTTGAGTTCAGGATAAAAGTACACGCCATAAGTTTCGGAATAGGATCGTGTTGATTTGCCCAGTAACCCCAAATAAGATCAAGCAGGAAAGGTTTCATCATGTCACAAGGTCCTTCGTTGTCCAGCCTCCCCGTTCGTCTGTTGCAGAATGAGTTGACAAACTGGTGGAATCGTCTTCTGAAAATCGCGACACTGGTACGTGTCGGTTGAAGTGTGCTGCCACGTAGCTGCTCTTTTCCGGTCCGTTTCTGTGAGATTCGCGTCCTTTCCGCAGACGTTGGCAAGTTCTGGTCGTTGACAGCTGCTTTATTGTCCTCTCTCTCTGATAACAGGTGGGAACAGTCCGCGAGCGCCGCGCCCAGCTGAAGCAGGCCCGCGAGAACATGGTGGGACGCCCCGGCTCGGGAACCCTCCACGAGGCCACGGGCCAGTCGCCGGGAGAGAACCCGGGCGACTTGCAACCCTCCCCGCTCCCCTTCCCGGTCGCCCCCTCGCAGTCAGAAACCAGTGCAGTGGTGAACGGCTCTGTAAAAGAAAGCGCGTCGGTGAGAGAAAGCTCGTCGGCAAGCGTCGAGTCGGGGGAGCGGACCCGGGGCAAGGGGCAGGGGCGGGACCGCGCGCTTGCGGGGCTCACGATTTTGGTAGTGGAGGACAGCCCGGTGCTGCAGAAACTGGTGACGAGCATGCTGGTGAGAATGGGCGCGCGCGTGGAGCAGGCGGGGGACGGGCAGCAGGCAGTGGGCACCGCGGCGGCGCTGCGGGGGAGCGTTGACATCATCCTCATGGACTGCCAGGTGGGGCGTCTGGCATCTCGGGTGTCGATCTTTGAGAATTGCATCTCCCATTCCACCCTGTTGTAGGAGGAAACAAAAGAAGTGTTCTTAAAATTTGTTTCCAATTTGTTAGAATGCCCCCAGTCCACTGATCAACAACTGATGGTGCGTTATGCTTTTTTCTGGTGTTAGTGCTAAAGTCTTCTGGGCGCCTTACTGAGTATCGAGGTTTTATGTTGGGTTTTTCCACACACGTGTGCGCCGCATTGAGAGCTTGGACGGCCAGCAGGCACTGGGCCTCGGCGTCACTAGACTGTGAATAATTTTCGACATCATGTTAACGGATTGTCAGGTAGGGCCTGGGCATCGGGAGGATTATGTGAACACGCATGGGCTCGCTCTCAAATTGGTTCTTTCCTCGGCTGCAGATGCCTGTGCTCGACGGCTACTCCGCAACGCAGGCCATCCGAGCCCAGGAGCAGAGCAGCGGCGGACGGGTACCCATCATCGCATTAACTGCGCACGCCATGCTCTCGGACGAAAAGAAGTGCCTCGAGGCGGGGATGGACGCTTACCTGAGTAAGCCCGTGTCTCCGGGCAAATTGTGCGAGACGATTCTCAGGCTTGTGAAGCGGGAGTTGCTCGGGGAGCCAAGGCCAGCGCAATAAAGCGACGCACTAACCCACACATGGTGTTCGATCAGTATGTATGTAGAGCCATACGACCCTCCGATTGAAAGCGCTTCTCCCAGGTCGCATGCTCGGAATGAGCTGTGTAGGACCAGAGCGACCTCGACGATAAAGGCTATCTGCCAGTGAAAATGAGCTGTCGCTGTGTAAAGAAGGCTTGAGCTTGCTTTAGATTGGTCCATGTTAACACGTCCGAGATATCACATACCGCAAGTCTCGGTCGTCACCGGAGCAGGTTAACCCATTATAGTACTTTTCTGCTTGGCGCGGCTGCGTGGAAGCTCTCTCGGTCAGTAAAGATAGTCACGGGTTGTGTAAAGTGAAACAGAGCTTTTAGTGCCAAAGGAGTCGATCCACCTGCCCGTGTCAGGTCGGCCGTAGCAACATACAGATACCCTGCAATACGGGGTTACTGTTGGAAGGGCTTTTACGTAGCGTAAATTGAGATCAGATGCGCCATTTTCGTTGGAGTGCGCCCTGGTCAGCCGGCCAATTAGCTAACGTGTGATGTAGGGCTTGGTGCTTAGCTAGTTTTACTCTGATACGGACGGTCAGTTTCCAGTCGGCGACCCTAAGCCCGTGATCGATGTACGTGGAGTTTAACTGGGTATATTAGCATGTCCGATAAGGTCAATTTCGTGTTTTCTGGCTGCATCCTGAATGATCCGACATGCAGTTGCGGACCGGACTATTTTGAAAATCTATGTCACCAGCCTGAACATTTCGGATCCGGAATGAGTTGCATGACATAGCCTGGGTCAGATATAGCTATAGTAAATATCCGTATTTCGGTCAATGATGCCAATGTTGCAGGCTATTATTGAAGCAACACGTGAAGTTATTCGGTTCCAAAGCCTAGTTCACTTGGCATGCAAATCAACGGTACCTTCATGAATGCGCATTGATGTCCGACACATCAGTGAATGAGTCCCCACTGATGTACGTCATGCGCATTGATGTCGCACGAATCCCCACTGGCATGTCATTGCGCATTGACATCAGTGGAGATATTTGCTACAGCTAGTTGACCGGATCTTGAAACACCCACGCGCCGCTAGCTGGGCCCGCGCGCGCATAACTTGCGCTGATGCATTGGTTTTGACGTAACCAGATAACCGTACGTCGATCCGCGGCCGCTGCATGCAGCTTTTGGTCGATATCCGACAATTCACATGTTGCACGAACTCAAATCATTTGAGTTCGTGCAACTTTGAGTGCGAGTTTGAATGCGATCATCAAATCGATAGAGTCAGTTATGATTGTATCATATATAAGTTGCCGCCCCGGGCTAGTAGGCTCATTGCACCACATGCACCGTGACGTCCGTGACCACCCGGCCTTACTATTAACTTAAATAATCAAGGCCGCGGTCCAGATACTAGCTACTAGCTTGACCTGATATATATATCCATTGTATAAGTATCTAAGTATCATTTCAATTGCAGTGCATCGGCCGGACCGTCTCACTTGAATGCGCGGCCGCCCGCGGGCCCGCGCCGGGCCGGCCTCCAACTTGAAAGGCTTAGCAAGCATTTCAAGCCTGAGTCCGACCGTACTCTCTACTAGAGGGCGTCAGACTATACATACCGTCCCGGCTCGTGTTTTCTTGGACCAACTCGGAAGCACGGTGACTCCTAGCACAGTTGGCAAGGGTGCTCGACCTTCGCCGTGAAATCGAGCGATCAAAACTCGGTCGGAGCAACTTTTCTAAAACACTGGTTTTCAAATTTCACGTCACGCGGGCAGATTTTCTGTGCGATAAAAATTCACCGTACGCGGCTGACGTCAGGCGTTACGGGTCACAGGACGCCCGGGTCACAGGACGCCGAGGAGCCTTGACCGTACTCGTTTTTGGACGTACCCCCGGTCGCGGCCGACGTACGTGAGTTGGCCGGTTCGGTCCATGAGAGCTGAGGGGTTTCGGTTGACAGGGTTCTGGCCGACCGTCGGATGATCTTCGGCCCGCCGAGCTAGTACTACCGTAAGCCTAGGCCCCCCGTGAGTCATGCATCGGAATCATCGATTTGACACTTGAAGTTCAAACGTTGATGCTTCCTCATTCCCATCTGACGGCCCGAGTTTGAGTCCGAAAATCGGCTCACCTACGGGCCACAATCACTCAATTGCTGCGTGCCATGTACACAACGCTCATGCATGCCAAGAGCGATGAAACTGGGGTTTGAACTGGGGTTTTTTTTCGACGGATCGAAAAAAAACGGAAGTTTAGATATCTTCGGAGCTGACTCTGGATGACAACCGCAGAATATCGACTAAGCGTACCGAACCGCGTCGAACGTTGAAACTGCTCTCGTGCTGTTGCGACAGGACAAGAACATAGGAATCTGCCAC